CTCACTGGCTGAGTGGATTGGATGGCCCAAAAAAAGTCCAAACTTTATATTTACCACTAAAATGGTCTTCCCAAAAAGTTTAAAGTTCATGAACTCAGGAAGTGAGGGAGTGAATGGAGTGAATGGAACGAGTGGAATTAGTGAAATGGAATGGAATGCAAAGAAAAGGAATGCAATGAGCGCATGGATGGATGAATGAATAAGTGAATGAAGAAGGTGTAAACATACAAAAATACATATGGCGATGTATATGTATATATATACAAAAGTATGTATATATATATGTATATATATATATATATTTGTGGCGGCTGTCTAAAAGCCCTTCTTTGGGGAATTGCCAATCTTCGCGCAGATGTTCACACGTGTCACGTGTGGCATGCGAAGTGCCCGAAAAACATGCGGAAAGGTCTGGCTGTGACCCACGCTTCTGGATTGGCCCCACGTGTTAGCAGTTGGTTCGATGCCCACGAGTCTGCCAAGCTGGCACGTTACAGTACGCGATCCTGTTCGATCTCTCTCCAATGGACTTTTTTTTTTTTTCGTAGATCTCGTAATTGACTGGCAATGTCTACTGAACATGCCGGTTGAGGCCTAAAAACCAAACTTGCAAATACAATACTTCCAATAACTATTCTGTAAGAAACCAGAGGACCTACATTCACAGTGAGCTCGTTCGCTATGGAGGGGACATCACCCCTCGCCTCCAGGGGCGCAAAAAGGCCCGGCAAGGTGGTTGCGGCACGACGCTCCTAGCGCGGCAAGTCGGGGGCGGGGTGGGCAGTTGAGAGCTCGTTGTTCGGGTGGAACCCTTGGACCACCCTTTAGGGATTCCCAAAAGTTTGTTTCCTTAGGGTTAAGGGAGGTTTTGGAAACCTTCTTGGACCAACCCTTAAAGAGATTCCCGCAATTTCGGCAGAAAGCACATTACCGAATGGCTCCATCCCCGGGCCCAAACTCCAAAGATTTCCCCATGCTTGTTGGATCAGTCTCACAGATTGGCAAAAAACAACAGGACCACTCCCCCAATTCCACCCTCAGCCAAAGGCAATCCTCCAACTCGCCTCGCCCTCCAGCAAACTACAAATCCCGTGCCCCCAAGGCCAACCAGAACCCATTTTGCTTTCGGGCTGCTGTGTTTTGGCTGGATGCCATTGGTTATATGCAGTTGTCTAAATTCATCCCCCGAGGTATGAAACTCGGCACACACAACTGTGCACTCTGGCAAACATAAGCGAGTTTTTCAGCTGTTGTTTGTGTGTGTGGGAATGTGCTGTGTGTGTGTGTGCTATACTAGATGCTGTGTGCGTGCGTGTTGTCCTGTGTGCGCGTTCTTTTTTTTTGGTGTGTGTGTGTGTGTTGTTTGGGGCGCCAAACTTTGGGTGGTTTTGAAGGGGCCACCAAAAGGAAACCAACCATTGCGGGCGTCGCCTCTTCATATTCTGACACATTGACATACCCACGCACACGGATTAAACATGGAACTACCAAAACAAGTCTTTGTAGAGGAGTCTCCTGTTGCGAGACCCCCTTGTCCAGTTTTATCTTGGTCACATGGCATGCCAGGCCACGACCTGAAACAATGGCGCCAGTTGACCTGACAAAGGGAGATGGGAGTGGTCTCTTGGCCATTGACTGGGGGGCACTGGGCGTTAGGGGAACATGACTATCCCTGGCTTTGCCGATTTCGGCCGAAACATGAAGAGTGAACCATGGGAAACGGCCGGCCTCGTTCACGTTCTTCAGCTTGTCATCAAGAAGCATCTGCTCAGATGGCGTGAGGTACGAGGATTTGCCTGGCAGTGTTTGAAGCCGAGGGAGCCCCTAAGTGGGGAGACTGCGGCTGAAATAGGCACGCGTGTCATTTGTGAAGCAACTTGCCCACAGGGACTCGCCCGCACGGGCCTTATGTTGCTTCTGCCCCTTTGCACAGGCCGTAGTCACCTAAAGCTGAGGAAACCGATAGAGCCCATAGAGCATGACGCTCCTAAGTGAGGCGCTTTACTCCAAAAGGTAAACGCTTTCCGCGGCGATGCCATCTTTGAATCCGAGCCCCGTCATCCGGGGCACGCCTCATAGCCAAATCCTTGCCAAACACGTGCCCAGTCAAAAGGGCTGCCCCGCAGAGAACGCCGGGGGGGTGGGACACATCCAATGCGAATCTCCCAAGAACTATAGTGGCGGCGGAGAGCCTGCGACTCAACTGGAGCTAGACACCACAAGTTGTGGGATATTGATTTGCTTTTGGTGAAAAAACACTCTCAACATTCTCAACCGAATGGAAGATCAGGTTGGGGAATTGGAGAATCAGACGGCCAGAGCGGCATCATGCGCCTCGGATCACCAGCATCAGACTCTGCTGCAAGCTGAGCCAGGCATGATCCGGCAGATCGGGCTCAAAGAAGCGGAGGAGATACCCTGGGCTCCGACATGGCCCTGGCCCCTTGAAGGACCAAGGGGGTTGGGGGGGAGGCCTTCTGGCACCCATATCTATTCAATTCACCTCCAAAACTAACGCGCCCCTTCAATTCCATTGTTGAGGGGTGACTTCTCCCGAATTTTGCTTCAAGATGAGCAAACTTGGGATGCACCGAGTTGCCCCAAACACCCCCCTTGCAAACGAGCCTTTTGGGGGTAGCTGCTGGAAAATCCACCCACTGAGACGGTATGGACCTATGGTTGGGGCTTCATGTTTTGTTTTGCTTCCGAAAAACCGCGAAGGCGCCAGGCATCGTAGAAGGCACGCTTTGTCACTAACCCTTTCCGACCGTACGGAGCTCGGCACAGTGTGAAAGGCCAGCAGTTGAGGGCAACCACTGGTCACCAAGAGAATACCCCTTTTCAGGGACTAGCCCAAAACCCCACATTGCCTCCACTTTCCTTCAGGATTCATACGCCACGACGCGCTACCATTATGGTTCGCAATTTGCAATACTTGCCCAAGAAAGCAGGCGCCGATGACCATAGGACATGTCGGGCTTCAGACGTGGCTCGTTTCTCGGGAAGAAGAGTGTTCAGTTTGTTTGAAGCAGCCAAGCAACGGACGAAAAGAGTGTGGCTTGCAGTCGAAAACTTATGAGGTTCCCAGATGTGGCCGGTGGACACTTCTCAGCAACCACATGGCCAGGATGCGCGGTGAGAAGGAATTTTGTGAAGGCACCATCCTGTTGAGGGGCTTACCAAGGGAAATCAACCAGGAAAATTACCATGATTGAGGTTCCCCCTGTTTTGACACACGTTCTGGATGGGTCCTTCGCTTACTGAGTCTTGGTCAGGCTCAGTGGGCGCAACCCAAGCGCTCGAGAGCCTTGCACCACGCATAACTTGTATCACCGGACCTCCGGAGCTGGCCTTTGGAGTGCAATTTTGCCAACATGTTTCCTTCTCATGATGGTGCTCCTCCGAAGAGTCCAGAAAGTCCAAAACGTCCCCCCTTCCCACTTTGAGCACAGAATCGCTTTACGATCTTCACCTTCAGCTTCACCTCTGCCCGGACCACCTTCACCTCTGCCTGGCACAAGCGCCCAAGGGTTTGGAAGGCGTGGAAGGCCCTGAGACCCGGCTGGCCAAATCAATCGTCACCACAACAACAGCCATGACAAGAAAAACATTGTAAGATACACTAGTATATGTAAAAAACCTTCACCACCACCACCATCACCACCATCATCATCATCATCATCATCAGCATCATCAGCATCGTCATCATCATCGACATCGTCATCAGCATCATCATCTTCATCATCATCATCATCAGCATCGTCATCATCGTCGACATCGTCATCAGCATCATCATCTTCATCATCATCGTCTTCGTCATTGTCATTGTCATCGTCATCATCAGCATCAACATCATCATCAACATCATCATCATCATCATCATCGTCGTCGTCGTCGTCGTCATCTTCATCATCATCATCAGCAACAGCATCATCATCATCATCATCGTCATCATCATCATCATTATCGTCTTCTTCTGCTTCTTTTTCTTTTTGCTCCTTCCTTTTCTTCTTCTTAATCATCAGCATCATCATCACCGACATCGTCATCGTCATCGTCATAACCATCACCATCACCACCACCACCATCATCATCATCATCATCTTCATCATCATCATCATCCTCATCCTGATCCTAATCCTCGTCCTCCTCCTCATCCTCATCAGCATCCTCATCAGCATCGTCATTGCCGTGTACCTCGTCCTCCTCCTCCGCCATCCCCACTACTCGGGTTCCGTTTATCTAGTCTCTGACAGGGAAAATGGAACCATAAATCGAATTCCCTCCCCAAATCCACCCAATCATCATCATCATCGTCGTCATCATCAGTTGGTCTGCCGTATTGAGCGCCACCAGTAGGCGTCACAACAGTTGCTATAAAGCCTCACCAACTTGCCTGGATACGCCTTTACAGGATGTATGACATACACACACACATGAAGCTAAGCCAAGTAGTTGTGGCCAACTACTTGGCAGCGTGACACATCTCACCAAACTTGCAGCAACCGACCGCTGATGAAACAAGCCTTGTGGCCGACAACACCCACACACACACACACGTATCGTCCACCGCCCTGATTGCAGCGTATCAAGCGCACAAGCCAACTTGAAACATCAGTTTTGCTCATGTTAGATGATGACAAGAAAGTTTCGCACCGCCACATCCACCACCGAAATGGTGTGCCGACAAGGGGTATCTAGTCAACGTTGGAGGCAGTATTCAAGCACTTCCAAACAGAAGGCCCAGCAACGCCCAAAGGCTGCTACAAGCGGGCGTCGTAAGTCACCCCACGTCACGTTAAGTCACCCCAGCCATCCCCAGCCGCTTGGAACTACGCATATCCGTTTAAGTCACCCCATGCGTTTTAAGTCACCCCATTTTTGAAAAACACAATGGGCACAGAACTGGAAGGGCGATGTTGCCAACCCCAAGAATTCACCGCACACTGCACGCACATGCTCAAAACTCACTGGTTTGGGTTCATGTTGAATGCTTTTCCCGGGCAAAACCCTATTGGGCACACTGCAATTAAAGGGTTCCTATCCTGCAAACATAAATAGTGTTTTCTGTTGGTTCTCCCGGAACACCCGACAAAAGGGCTGCCGGCGCGAGTGCCGCGCGACTCTGTGCGAGTGCCGCGCGTGCGCCGGGTGAGCCGTGCCCTCATCCCAATGAACATTTTGCATGCGCACAGCACAGAATTATGCGATTTCAGAAAATGACATGCTTGAGACAACTATCTTTACATCCACAAACACAACGGGCACACTCACCCGGGACGACTTAGATCAACCCGGGACGACTTACAGCACTTACCGTAAGTGACTTACCCTGTAAAGGACCAAATGCATACACACCCGTTTTGATTGAGGGTACCCCTTCTTTGGTGGATGTAAAGGCGACATCACAGTTTAGCGAGTTTAATAGACCAAAGAATAGGAACACCCTTCATGCTGGATGGGAGGTCCTCACGCGTTCGATTCACCTAGCTCGCGGGCTTGACACTGCCCAGAAAACCCGAAAGAACACCAGCTTCAAAGGGGCACGCCCTCTGCTGATAATTGGATTGGTGCTTGGGTGCTCTGAGCTGACCTCAATAGGTTAAAAGTTGCTTTTAGCTTCCAACTAACTGGCGGTTTGGATTGATGAGGTTAGTTTCCCATGAATCCTCCATAAATAACGAGGTGATCAAAGCACGTGGGAATGCGTGAGCCGTAGTGTGAGCAGAAAACGTAAAGATACCCTGGTTTTCATACGCAACCTCCCGTGTTGAAACAGCAATAAACTCGCTTCCTGAGGATGGCCTGCGAGAAGCTGAACTTTGTGTTTAAACCAACTGCTCAGTCCCCCCCGTCGCCTCACGGGCACGCTGCTTCAGGAGCTGGTCTGCTGCGCTCTGGACCCGCTGCCTGACGGACCCGCCGACCAGACCAGCGAATCCCAAACACACGGGTTAGCTTGGAAAAGCTTTGACGGGCACCATGTTCCCGGCACAACATTTTTTGTTGCCCGAACAGACTTGGTGTGATTGGGTGGTCACACGAGCCTTTGCACGGGAAATCTCGGCGCTGGCCCAAGTTTTCCACAAACTAGCTTTGCAAGTTGCTCGCGCGGTTCCCGCGAGCAATCCTGAAATATCCCAGTAGCGGTGAAGGCTCATTAGGGAGTTTTGTCTGCCGTTTGAAACCCACGTAAAAAGCCTGCCAACTTGTCGCAAGCAATTCGACTCGAGAAACGCGCGCAGTTCGCGGCATGACACGCACGTTTAAGTCCAAATGGCCATTTTGTCCGCTCGCCTTCCGGCGAAGAGGCCTTCCGACGGCTGCTTAAGTGTGTCCCTCGCAATGCTCAGGTACACAGGGGGCCCATGCAAGCAAGGACTCCTATTTTGGGACACACTCGCAAACCATAGAGGTTTCGCGCGATAAGCGGGCGCAGCGTGCGCACAGCTCTGCGCGGGTTGCGCGCAGCCGCTATCAGCAAGCGAAGTTTTCGGCCGTAGTATATGGTTATAGGCACTCACAACCATGCGCCTATCGCAAAGCGATACAAAACTGTTCCTGCGATCTTTTGACTCATCGGATAACCCGACTCGCCCGTAGCAAAGTGTAAAAGCCAACCTTTGCGGCTTGCCAAAGCCTGGCGGACGCGGCGGCAAGCCCCCACTCGGAGCCGGGATGAGAACGTAGGCACTCGAATCACGATGAGCGCGGGAAGAACGGAACGGTGTTTGTTTCCGAAAACAATCTGCAAACTAACATTGCTCAAATTGTCAAGAAACCAGCCGGTTACAGTCAGCCAGGTCAAATGTAGAAACAAACCATGCTGACTGTGTGATCTTCAAGCTGCAAAATGCAGTGAATCACCACAGCACCACCGACGCAAGGTTGATTCAAAGCTTGCCATTGAAGTCGTAGTGTGGTTTGTTAGATAAGCTAGAACAAACAAGGGACGACAAACACGCACACACACACACACACACACACTGACTTGCTGAGTTTGAGCCATAAGGTTGGTTTGTTTGGGCTCTTCACTTGACAAGTTGAGATGCAAAACAATCGTTGAGTGCATCGATTCAGCAAATCAGCCTGAAAGAGTGCTAAGCTTCCCGCGAAGCAGGACGCCACAGGCCAAACCAACCATCTCGAGGAAGATCTTGAGAACCAATCGAACAGGGCAGATGACATAAAGACAAGTTCAGAGAAAACTAATTAGCATACGAGAGCCAGTGACAACTGAGCCAACAAAAACAAACTGGCAACATATCCATCTGAGTCGAAATCAAAACCTGGTAGCAAAATGGCTGCGGGTCAAGAATGGGTACCCAACATGGAACCCTGGGAAAAGGAACCAAGGACTAAAACCTGCGGTCCCCCCTGTGGTTTAATTTTGACCCGCACCCAAATGGTGAAGATGTAAAGACTTGCCAAGGCGGCGAAGGCACTCATTTCTGGCAACTGTCCCTTCGTCTGCCCGAATCGGATTCTCAGTTGTTCAGTGACCCTGGCGAAAAAAGCGAACCCTTTTTTGGTAAGACAATTTTTAGTGGGCCACCCCCCCAAAAAAAAGAAGTGCCACTGAACATCTGAGTATTTGAGGCCGTGGCTGCATCTGTTGCAACCACTCCTTGGGCTGGCGACCGTGGCGGCCAAGGCGCAGGTAGAAAGCCTGAAAGTGCTCCGCGCCCATGAGTTCCACCTCAGCCTCGCCTTTGGCCTCGGAATTTCAGGGTCATTTCCATGGGGAACGCCAGTGACGGCCACCCCCCCAAAAAAAGGTGGCTTGTTTTTCCTCAGTTTTTTAGAAAAAGTAGACCCCCATTGTCTGACTTTCGGGGGCCCTCACAACATGGCCAGCCGAAACTTTGACCGCTAAAGCAGTCTCGATCTCAGCTCACCAGCCAGCTTTTTCGGTTCGGCGCAAATATGAGCGCTCAAAGAAAACGGCCACCTCAGGTATTTGATTGGTTCAGGGTCCCGGCAAGTGGACAATTCGCGCCAAAAGTCCCGGATCGAAACACACACGCGACCGTGTGGCAACATCATTGCAATCCTGTCATGTCAGCTGCCAGTTGCAGGGATCCGGTCGCCAGAACCTGAGTACATCAAATCCTCAAAATGACCCTCCACATGCTGTTCGTGAATGGCAAAAATGACTCGCACTGTTTGGCAAACTCATGTTCCCTTTGAGGCACCCAACACTCGGCCAAGATGCGACCAATGCCTCGCGGGGGCTGATGGTCATCATCAGCGTCGACTGGCTGATCTCCTGCCCAGGAGACTCCCAAACCGATCAGTCGGGATTGGGATGACCGGACATCCCGCTTCCGGCGACAAATAGAATACTCACTCGCCCGAGGTTGGGAACCTCCCGGCGGGAGAGGAAATGTCCGGATCAGCGCGAAGCCGCGAAAGCGAGTCCATGGGAGCCGCCCAAAAAGCTGCTTTGCTTTGGCTTTCCTTTCGGCAACGTCCATCCTAGCGTTCCCCCGAAATGCCCCGAATAGTCCCGCGTGCTCCTGAATGGCCTGCTGCATCTCGTCCTGCGGCCCGCTCTGGGCCAAGTTGGACACCACCTGCCGTGACAAACTGGGCTTCCACATTTACATGCACCCTTCGTTTGTAGAACGCATTAGGGTTCTTAGGGGCTCCACATCTACACCTTGTAGAACTCGGGCTATTCGGGGCTGGACCTGGGTTTGCATGCCAGTTCTGACCTCCTTTCAAGGAACAAAGTAGTCCAAAACGCGCCCCCAAATCCAATCTGCGGTTCGTAGTGGACTACAAAAAGGGAAAGCGGCATGCACGTACAGCGATAGAGTAGCAAACTAATCATAGGGGATAGAAACCTCACTTTGGTATTGCCGAAAGTGTCAGGTGTGCCATGGAACATTTCTCCGCAATCGCTCCCCCCCATCTTGGCTCACTCCGGCCCCCGCCCAAATATCGGGTTTACCTTGACCCACCCCAGATCTACAAACAAATAGCCACTGCGCCAAGAACCTTTCAGGTGAGGTCAAAATAGCTTGTCGTCTTGTCGTGAAAATCTCCAAGTGCGCAAGCCTAGGAAGGGACTGCCAAAATCTGTGTGCTCGAGGGAGCCCGTCGGCTGACTCAAGGCGAAAAGGCGGTGGGCTGAAGTGAGCTTCAGCATCCAGGCCCATGGCTTGGTGTTGGTCGCCTTAGGAAAACCTTGCACAACAGTGCTTCGAAGCACAGGGGTTACAAGGCCCGCGTTCCAAGTGGCCCCCCTGAAATGGAACCGTGTTTCTCGCTTCCGGTTCTAGCAAACATCAAGCTTGCTCGGCTGTCCCGAGGGAATCATTGCCCAAACACACTCAGCTTGTGGTTTCACGTCGGAGGTTGGGTTGCTTCAATACACCGTCTTTCAGGATTTCCTTAATCATAGGAAACCAACACCAAGCCACAAGTGATTTCAATCATTCCGGAAAAAACAATCAGTCACCAACGCCAGTGATTTTGTCTCTCAAGGCGAAAACTGCCAAACTAAAGGCGGCAGTTTCCTTTTTGCCCCCAGAAGAATAAACCCGGCACCCTGGAAGCACAGAAATCCCACGCCCAAGCCGAACTTCACGACCCCCTGGCCACCCCAAAGCGCTTCGCACATCGCCTGCGGCGCCCGCGTGGTCTGTCGCCCCAGGCGCGCTGCAAGGCCCTTGGCCAGCTGGTTCCGCTGCAGCCTGAAATCGAAATACCCAGGGGATCGGCTTCATGGAAAAGGTCCTCCACATTTCAGCTCTTTTCCCTCGTTTTTGGGTGGTGTGGAGCCGACTCGGTGGTTTTCAGTGGTGAAATGGGGTGGTTTCCCATTTGCTGTCAAGAACTGACGGGTTCAGATCCCCAATCAACAAATCCGAACCACCAACAAGGGTGACCTGATCATTCCCATCAGGTCTCAAAACCAATTACCAGCGGTTTCAACCTGAAGTTGAATCGTAATTGTCTCAAATGGAAAGCAGGCTGGGCATCTAAGAGCTTTGGGCAGAGTAACCTGGCGGACGGCAAGGGGAAAGCTGGTGCCGTCTCCAATTTGTTGGTTTTGCCGCGGTTGACACCGTCTCCAATTTGTTGGTTGCTGTGATACCGCCCTTTAATCGGCCGTATGATACTTTGTGTAGTGGCTGATCCTCCACCTCACCGAAACTCAGTTGCCCACATGCCAACAAAATAAACAAAAGGTTTCGACTTGGCACTAAAACGGTGTTCCCAAGGAGTATAAAGTTCGGAAACGGGAACGGCGATGAGGGGATTGAAGCAGCACGAAAATTTGACCCAAAACCTAGTTCCCCTATGACTCACACTCCCTGGACCTGGGGGCCTTGAATATGCGGCAGCACCACGACACCAAGCAATATTTGAGAGCCACATGAATAATTTGGACCTGGCCTCCGAGTCCTTGCATGCTTCATTCAGAAAGCTAACACGTCTCTTTCAATATGTTTTGATCTTCCAGCAAAAGTGGCCTCAGCATTGGCATCTCTCGTTTCACCTGGAATCGAACTGCTGACAATCGAAATGGGGCCTAAATTGAGAGGGCCTGCGCATCTCTGAAATAGGTTCAAGCCGATTTGAACAAATGACCTTGCGATGTGGGCGATTTGGCGCGGTTGCCGCACAGGCACGTGCGGGTGTTCTTCTCCGGGAAGGCAGGGTAGAGGCAGAAACCTTGCTGGGCCAAGTGCTGCTCCAGCGACTGGCTTGCCTGACAGCCGTCACAGGCACGTGTCTATGGCAAGGGTTGGTCACAACTCGAAGAGGCAAAAAACAAAAAACATGTGTTCGCCCGCCAAGGCCTTAGAATCCTCAGGTCAAAAGGGCTTTCAGACTGAAACGCGCGACGTCGAGTATTTCCTGAACCCTTCCATGATCCGGAAGGCCTTCTCGGATCCCGAAGTCTTCTTTGATTCTCTAAGCATTGTGGCCTCAACCAAAAATGTTAGGCAGCCAGACATGGTTTCCAAGCCAGCAACCTGATTCAAATTGCAGCCCAAAGAGAAAAAGTAATTAGAGCTCCCAAATCACAAAGATCTATACCCTCCCCCAGACTAACATGGAAGCTTTCAGGACCTGTTTGGAAGACTTGGTTCCATTTACAGAGGCCTTCTGGAAGCTTCCATGTTAGTCTGAGGGAGTGTGCCAAGACCAGGCAAGTCGTCCTTTGGCCCGGTGCCAAAGCACTACCTGGAGAACCGCTTCCGGGCACTGGCTCCAAGGTGCCTTTGGAGATGCTTGTGGGGATCCTGTTTTTGGAGACGGAGACGCTCCTGCGAAATGCAGATGTGCATCAAATTGCCTAGCTGTATCCGAGTCGAGGCCCCTATGTTTCAAACAGCCTTCTCATTTGTCAAGCCCTGACTGTCAAGTTGTGACCCTTACATTGGCAAAGCCTTCGGTCCGGGTCAACAAATGGCTCGGCCCCCAGAAACCAACTTTTCTTTGACCCCGGGATATCATGTGGCGTTCTACCGATATTGGTCGATCAAAGCTACAGCATGATGTAGTGAACACTTTGTCAACGTTCAACCCTAAGTCATTTGGAATCAAACTTCATCACTCATGTGAAGGGCAAAGACGTAAAGCATACAAAGGTTGGTCCTGGGAAGTGGGAGGTGAGTTGGACTCCCTCTGCTGCACAGCACAAAACCCTTGATTTGTTGCGCTACCAAACAAACTTGTTGATCTGGCCTTGCTGTCCTGCCCTTCCCGGTGTTGCCGCACCTGGATTCATTCAGGGGGGAGTGTTTCAAACTCGGGCTTTCTGCGGGTTGCGCAAAGGCAAATGGTAGAAAATCCGGTTTCGAGTGATCTAGGTTCTTCTTCGACATCAAGTCTTTCGATCTCCAGCTGGCGATGCGTTTCCCCCTGCAAACTGCGGCCAGTGCCTTGGATCGCTGCACCTCACCAAAGGATTCCAAGGAGAGGTTTACGCGGTCAACAAAGGCAACACCAAGTGTCCGTTGCCCGAAGTGTCCACAAGGGCCAGACAAATTTATGTCATGATGGATGTAGAAGTAAACTTTGAGCAGTTATAAGCACTGACATGGGCTGCAAAATCATCACAAGGCCCAAAAGTTTGGTTTGGACAGCGTGTCCTCCATCGCTCGGCCGCATGCTCCCTCCCCGGCTGATTCCTCAGCCCGGCAGCGCCAACTCCGAATGCCGACGCAACTCTGTCTGAAAACGGCGAGAAACCCGAACACCTGAGAGCCTCCGAACGGAATGAAGCTGAGCATTCACTCTAGCAGCTGCCTTTGGATGGCCCCAGATGTAACGCTCGTAACGCTCGAGTTTTGAGCAAACTGACAAACATATTGCCCGTAGCGACCCTGACAATCTCACACCGCGTTGTGTGTTTTGAGGGTCGGACCCTTGCATCCCGAGCCGAAATGACGCCGTAAGAAATCGCCTTAAACACTAGAAGTGGCGACGGCGAGTTGGACCAGTCCATGGATGCGAATCTTGATGGTACATGCTTAATGCGTCAAATGGGCTCGGCACTAGTGAAGCATGTGCTCGTTAGGCTCTTGCCTTGCTACAACCCCACATATGACACAAATAAACAAACTGTCAAGAACCATCAACATGGACCTGGACAAATCGCGGGGATGGCACGTGCCCCCTCCGGAGCCTGAAGGTGCTTGTGACATAGGCTCTCGATCCCCTCCCCTCACAAACTTCCCCCCAACAATAAGGGCCTACTATGCAAAGCAAGTAAGCCGCACTTGTCATTCGCTTCATTTCGGCTGCTATTGGGCAAGTAGCAGCGAGCCGCGGCGAGTGATTTCGAAGGGTGTTGCTCGAATACTGAAGTCGGTGCTTAGTGGTGAGTGGAGGATGGTGCGCACAGGCGCGGTGGCAACTCAGACTTGGGGGTTGACCGGAAGCGCTGCACAGTGACAAGGTAAACACTGAGAACGCTTCGCCTTTGCGTCGCATGCCTGAGGATTGCCCAAAATGATCGGAAACGTCTAATTTGTGCCAGTTGGTCGAGAACAAAGGCCAAACTACGGCGCAAGCCTTATGGGATTTGGGATTAAGGCCCAACTAAGGAAACATTAAGTCCGAATGAAGGCGGGTGACTATGAGGTTTGGATTAAGCACAAACTAAAGCAAGACAAAGGCCCAATTTAGTCCAAATCAAGGACAACTTCAGGCACGTGCTTATGGGGCTTGCACTAGGCCCAAATTCAGGCACAACTAGGGGCCAAACTGGGGCCGAATTCATCAAGTCTTAAAACATGCCAAGAGCAGTAAACTTAAGCAAGCGTTGAGATACACAAAGGTTGAGGAGACATGTGGCCTGAAATTGAACATCTAGGTATGCTTGCGGGAAATTCGAAATATCTGTAACGGTTGAACTCCCGGCAGAATCAAAGACGAACATGCTCTGCAAACACGTTCCTAGACTTGATTCTGCACAATGCCCTAAAAAGAAATATTAAATATTGTTTCGGCCTTATTTCAATGGTAAGTTCCAAATTGATTTTGGACTTTCGGCTTTAATTCTGTGCAATTAGTTCTTAATTTGTTTCCCCCTCGTGGCTTGGCCTTGTTTTGGTCGCGGGGGGAGAGGTTCTGGGGAGGGCCTCCAGAATTCTGCCTTCCTTGCTCACTTAAGTGGGTGGCCTTCAAGATTGTGCTATAGTCCATACGGATGCCAGCATGCTTCAAGATGTCGTGTGAACAGTCATAGGGATTCGTGCATAGTATGATAAAGAATTGCTCATGTAACCATTCGGGTTGACGAGCGCGTGATGTAAGCTGCACCCTTGGCCAGCTCAGGCTACACATCTTATCTCGCTCCAAAATTTGGAAGTTGTGCTGGGAAAGCAAACCCCCATGCGCCGCACCCAGCGTGTCTCACGTGTCGTCACGTGTGGCGGCCGTAAGCTCCTTGAGAAAGGCCATGGGATTGCATTTGGGCAATGTAGCGAGCAGAAGCAGGCACAGTAAACCTACATTTATGAACAATTGCTGCCATCTTAACTCTTAGGGGGTTATGGTTGTACAAGCCCTGTACAAGCCGTGCCTATCATGCAAACCACTTGGGTTGAATAATTCCCAGAAGAAACCTCGCTTGAACATCGTACAAACATGACGCCTTGCAATCAGAACGCGCAAAAATAAACTATAGTAAGTATCTATCAGTTAGCACTTTTTAGCAGGCGGCACAGTTAGCACATCCCTGGGTTGGCCGGAATGCCCCCGTCAGCCCCGAACAGTTAGCACACACCTGCCACACCCCGAAACCGAAAGGGGCGACCAACAGTTAGCACATGCCTCTCTGGTTGTGGGCAGAGATACGCTTTCTGAAATGAGCAACTTTCGCAATGCAGTACAAGTGTAGTAAAGGAAGTACACTTGGCAGATCCGTCTGAAAAGTAGCAACTTTTCAGTACAAGTGTAGTAAAGGAAGTACACTTGGCAGATCCGTCTCAAAAGTCGCAACTTTTCAGTACAAGTGTAGTAAAGGAAGTACGCTTTGGCAGCTCCGGCTCGAAAGCCGCAACTTTTCAGCACAACTGTAGCACAGGAAGTACGCATTGCAGCTCCAGCCCGGACGTCTCAACTTTTCAGTACCAGTGTAGTACAGGAAGTACGCATTGGCAGCTCCTGCCCGGAAGTCTCAAGTTTTAACTACAAGGAAGTATGCTTTGGCAGCTCCGGCTCGAAAGTCGCAACTTTTCAGTACAAGAGTAGTGAAGGAAGTGCACTTTGGCAGCTCCAGCTCGAAAGTCGCAACTTTTCAGTACAAGCGTAGTAAAGGAAACGCACTTTGGCAGCTCCGGCTCAGAAATCAACTTTTCAGTACAAGTGTGGTAAAGAAAGTACACTTTGGCAGCTCCGGGCTCGAAAGTCGCAACTTTGTGTAGCAAAGGAAGTAGATTTGGCAGATCCGGCTCGAAAGTCCAGTGCAAGCGTAGTAAAGAAAGTACACTTCGGCAGCTCCAGCTCAAGAGTCTCCACTTTTCAGCACACGTGTAGTATAGTGCGTATCAATCAGTTAGCACTTTTTCCTAGGCAGATAGCACATTACTGTGTTGGCCGGAATGCCCCCGTCACCCCTGAACAGTTAGCACACACCTGCCACACCCTGAAACCCAAAACAGCGGTCAACAGCTAGCACATGGGGCTCTCTGGCTTTGGGCAGGCGAACAGAACATCAAAGGGCTATATACGCTTTCTCGAATGTTCATGGAAGCACACAGTGTCAAATCTTCACTAAGCGTAGAAACTTGCAGAACCCAGTGAGCCTATGATGGAGGAAGGGTGTGCGGTCGACTGGCTTACATGGAGCTTGCGTGGATAGGTGATGCTTTACTTGGCCCTAGTACTTTGTTGAACGCTATTATTGTGTTACAGTGTTTTCGCAACTTTTCAGTACAAGGAAACTTTGTTTGGCAGCTCCGGCTCGAAGGTCGCAACTTGTCAGTACAAGTGCAGTAAAGGAAATACACTTTGGCAGCTCCGGCTCGAAAGTCGCAACTTTTCAACAAGGAGATACACTTTGGCAGCTCGGCTCGAAGGTCGCAACTTGTCAGTGCAAGTGTAGTAAAGGAAGTACACTTTGGCAGCTCCGCCTCGAAAGTCACAACTTTTCAGCACATGTGTAGTAAAGGAAACGCACTTTGGCAGCTCCGGCACAAAAGTCGCAACTTTTCAGTACAAGTATAGTAAAGGAAATACACTTTGGCAGCTCCAGCTCAAAGGTCGCAACTTGTCAGTACAAGTGTAATAGACAAAGTACACTTTGGCAGGCAAATGTACAAACGCTCGGGCTGCCGCTTGGGGCGACACGGATGCCACGCAACAGGCGTATACAGGCGTCAGCAACTGGAAGAGCAACCGCGTTCGAGTTTCTGCTCGGGCCGAGCACGGGTGCCACGCAAGGGCACAAGCAAAGGCAAGCGAAGCCATGCTCGGAATCCCGCTCGGATCCCGCTCGGACGCGGATGCCACGCAAAGGCGTCAGACCCTCTTGCGGAAGCCATACAGTTAGCACACGCCAGACCCTCTTGCACCTCGCTTGGCCGTGTCAGCCAGCCAGGATGCAACTGTCTTGATAATTGAATTTGGCTTTGGGATTCACAAACAACGGGCCCCGAAAAGCCTGGCAACTCCACCCCTGAAAGCCTGGCAACTCCAACCCTAAAGCAATGCTTCCTGCGACTTGAAAGGGCGCCCGTAGAATAAAACGACACTATCAAGAAGCTTGCATTGTCCGAAAGCAGTTGGGCCACCAAGTTTCGAAGTGAAGCTGACTTGGGCACCGTGTACAAGCTTTACGCAAGACAAAGACAAGTCCATAATCATGAAGAAACACCGTGCCTGGTTTTACTCTTGAAAGCCCACAAGTTTTGCCGGGGCCGCGCCCGCAAACAGGCTTGGAATCCCGCTCGGGCCGAGCACAAACGCCGCGCAAAGGCGCTGGTAAGGACCAAAGCAAAGCAGACACGCTCGGGATCCCGCTCGGGCCAAACACGTGCGCCGTGCCAAGGTGCAGGTAAGGACCAACGCAGCCACGCTTGGGAGCCCACTCAGGCCAACTATGGATGCAGCGCGCAGGCGTAGCCCGCTCGGGATCCCGCTCGGCTGGAGCACGGGTGCCACGCAACGGCAAGAGCAAAGGCAAGCGAAGCCAATCCCGCTCGGGGCGATCGCGGATGCCACGCAAAGGTGCACTTGCGGAAGCCATACAGTTAGCGCACGCCAGATTCTCTTGCGCCTCGTTTGGCCGTGTCAGTCAGGACTCTTCGCATTCCGCATGCCAACGCGCTTCTTCTACAGTACTCGCCGTTTCCTGCAACGGCAGCACAGCTGTCTTGATAATTGAATTCGGCTTTCGGAAATAAAAAGAACGGGCAGCCTTATAACTCCACCCCTAAAAGCCTGACAACTCCACCCCTAAAGCAATGCTTCCTGCAACTTGAAAGGGTGCCCGTAGCAAAAATACACGACATTGTCAAGAAGCTCGCGTTGTCCGAGTGTTGCACCATGTTGCATCCAAATGCAAATGCATTATCGTAGCGGAACAGTTGGGCCATCAAGTCCCGAACTCAAGCTGGGCTAGGACACTGTGTAAAAGCCTTCCAGCAAGAAAACGACAAGTCCATAATCCTGAAGAAACACCGTGCTCTGGTTTCACAATTGAAAGCCCACAAACACGCTCGAAGTTTTGCCGGGGCCGCGCCCGCAAACAGGCTTGAGGCGAGCACAGACGCGGAGCAAGGCGCTGGTAACGCGCAGGCGGCTGAAAGGACCAAAACGGCCAGGCTCGCTAGCCCGCTCGGGATCCCGCTCGGGCCGAGCACGGATGCCATGCGAAGCATCGCTCGGGATTTCTGGGGCGAGCGCGGATGCCACGCAAAGCTCAGACCCTCTTGCGGAAGCCATACAGTTAGCACACGCCAGACCCTCTTGCGCTCGTTTGGCCGTGTCAGCCAGGGCTCTTTGCATCACGCCTGCCAACCCGCTTCTCTACTGCAATAGCCGTCTTGACAATTGAATTTGGCTTTGGGATTCACAAACAACGGGCCCCTATAAAAGCCTGGCAACTCCACCCCTAAAGCAATGCTTCTTGCGACTTGAAAGGACGCCCGTAGCAAACATCAACGACATCATCAAGAAGCTCGCGTTGTCCGAGTGTTGCATCATGTTGCATCCAATCGCAAACGCACAGCGGACAGCTGGGCCTGTGTAAAGGCTTTACCCGCAAGAAAACGACGAGTCCATAATGCTGAAGAAGCACCGTGCTCTGATTTTACTCTTCAACGCCCACAAATACGCTCGAAGTTTTGCCGGGGCCGCGCCTACAAACAGGCTTGGGATCCCGCTCGGGCCGAGCACAGATGCCGCACAAAGGCGCTGGTAAGGACCAAAGCAGACACGCTCGGGATCCCGCTGGGGCCAAACACGTACCAAGGCGCAGATAAGGACCAACACCGTCACGCTCGGGAGGCCACTCGGGCCAGCTATATGGATGCAACGCGCAGGCGCCTGCAAGGACCAAAGCGGCCAGGCTCGCTTGTATCCCGCTCGGGCCGAGCACGGGTGCCACGCAAGGAAAAAGCAAAGGCAAGCGAAGCCACGCTCGGGATCCCGCTCGGGATCCCGCTCGGGATCCCGCTCGGGGCTGTCACGCAAAGGCGTCACTCTTGCGGAAGCCATACAGTTAGCACACGCCAGACCCTCTTGCGCCTCGTTTGGCCGTGTCAGCCAGGGCTCTTTGCATCACGCCTGCCAACCCGTTCTCTACTGCAATAGCTGTCTTGACAATTGAATTTGGCTTTGGGATTCACCAACGGGCCCCTATAAAAGCCTGGCAACTCCACCCCTAAAGCAATGCTTCTTGCGACTTGAAAGGACGCCCGTAACCAAAATTCAACGATGTAAAAGCCTTACCCGCAAGAAAAAGACGAAGCACCGTGCTCTGATTTTACTCTTCAAAGCCCACAAATACGCTCAAAGGTTTGCCGGGGCCGCGCCCGCAAACAGGCTTGGGATCCCGCTCGGGCCGAGCACGGATGCCGCGCAAAGGCGCTGGTAAGCACCAAAGCGGCCATGATTTTACTCTTCAAAGCCCACAAATACGCTCGAAGTTTTGCCGGGGCCGCGCCCGCAAACAGGCTTGGGACCCCGCTCGGGCCGAGCACAGATGCCGCGCAAAGGCGCTGGTAAGGACCAAAGCAGACACGCTCGGGATCCCGCTCGGGCCAAACCCGTGCCAAGGCGCAGATAAGGACCAACACAGTCACGCTCGGGAGTTTAATGCAACGCGCAGGCGCCTGCAAGGACCAAAGCGGCCAGGCTCGCTAGCCCGCTCGGGATCCCGCTCGGGCCTTGCAAAGGCAAGCGAAGCCACGCTCGGGATCCCGCTCGGGATCCCGCTCGGGGCGAACGCGATGCCACGCAAAGGCGTCACTCTTGCGGAAGCCATACAGTTAGCACACGCCAGACCCTCTTGCACCACGCTTGGCCGTGTCAGCCAGGACTCTTCGCATCACGCTTGCCAGCGCGCTTCTCCTACAATATTTGCCGTTTCCTGCAATGGCAGTAACTGTCTTGACAATTGAATTTGGCTTGGGGATTCACAAACAACGAGCCCCTAAAAGCCTGGCAACTGCACCCCTAAAAGCCTGCTTCTCCACCGCTGAAGCAATGCCTCCTACGACTTGAAAGCGCGCCCGTAGTAAAACGACTGACATTATGAAGAATGCCACCGTGTGGAAGCTTTACCCGCAAGAAAAGACAAGTCCATCATCCTGAAAAAACACCGTGCTCTGGTTTTTCTCTTGAAAGCCCACAAACACGCTCGAAGTTTTGCCGCGCAGAGAGGCTTGGGATCCTGCTCGGGCCGAGCACAGACGCTGCGCAAAGGCGCTGGTGAGGACCAAAAGCAGACACAGTCGGGATCCCGCTCGGGCCAAACACGTGCGCCGCGCCGAGGCGCAAATAAGGACCACTCGGGCCAACTACTATGGATGCAACTCGCAGGCGGCTGAAAGGACCAAAACGGCCAGGCTCGCTAGCCCGCTCGGGATCCCACTCGGGGCGAGCACGGGTGCCACGCAAAGGCGTCAGACCCTCTTGCCGAAGCCATACAGTTAGCACACGCCAGACCCGCTTGCGCCTCCTTTGGCCGTGTCAGCCAGGAGTGTTCGCATCATGCTTGCCAACGCGCTTCTCCTCCTACAGTTTTTGCCAAGCAGACACGCTCGGGATCCTGCTCGGGCCAAGCGCATCAGTCCTGAACGATCCGCTACCTCGCCACCACCCCTGTCATGCGGGGCGCCTTGCGACGGCGAGAAGAATCGCCACGCTCGGGAGTCCACTTGGGATGCAACGCGCAGGCGGCTGAAAGGACCAAAACGGCCAGGCTCGCTAGCCAGCTCGGGATCCCGCTCGAGCCGGCTACGGATGCCACGCGGAGAGGCCGTGGCGGGCAAACTTTAAAACTTTCAGGATTCCGCTCGGGAGAACGCGGATGCCACGCACAGGCATGTGCGAACGCAAGCGCAAACGCACTTGAGCTTCCGCTCAGGCTAAGCAAGCTTCAAGACTCCGCTCAGGCTCAACTTGTAAGGCCCAACATACGGCCAAACCTCTGACTTACAGTTAGCACACGCCAGACCCTAGCGCCTTCTCAGCTGGTGTTAGCCAGGACTCTTCGGATCATCACGCTTGCCAATGCGCTCCTCCTAACTACAGTCTTTGCCCTTGACTGAAATGGCAACGCAGCAGTTTTAGTGCGTGACATGCACCCCCATTATTCGGCGAAGGGCGCTCTTCTCGCTTAGGTGCATCCACCGGCGCAACTGCGGCACCTCCCCCCCCCAGGATGTTTCGAAATAATGATGATTCTGGCATGGCACCCTGCAACAGCACCCTGCGCAACTCTGCAGCACCCTGCTCAGCTCTGAGTCTCGTCCTGCCTTCCTTCCCTCCTTCCTTCCTTCCTTGCTTCCTTCCTTCCTTCCTTCCTTCCTTCCTTCCTTCCTTCCTTTGCTTCCTTTGCTTCCTTTGCTTCCTTTGCTTCTTTTGCTTCCTTTGCTTCCTTTGCTTCCTTTGCTTCCTTTGCTTCCTTTGCTTCCTTTGCTTCCTTTGCTTCCTTTGCTTCCTTTGCTTCCTTTGCTTCCTTTGCTTCCTTTGCTTCCTTTGCTTCCTTTGCTTCCTTTGCTTCCTTTGCTTCTTTTGCTTCCTTTGCTTCCTTTGCTTCCTTTGCTTCCTTTGCTTCCTTTGCTTCCTTTGCTTCCTTTGCTTCCTTTGCTTCCCTTGCTTCCCTTGCTTCCCTTGCTTCCCTTGCTTCCCTTGCTTCCCTTGCTTCCTTGCTTGCTTGCTTGCTTACTTCCTTGCTTCCTTGCTTCCTTGCTTCCTTGCTTCCTTGCTTCCTTGCTTCCTTTCCTTTGCTTCCTTTGCTTCCTTCGCTTCCGTGCTTCCCTGCTTCCTTCCGTCCTTCCTTCCAATGCCCATGTAAAGCTATTTTGATGCCAAGCCTTATTTCAAAGACCTTGAACAATCCGACTGCCAGACTAGTTGGAGTGCTAACTGTTGGGCCTCAACCACGGCTTGGGAAAAAAACGCTGCGCAAGCGCCCAAACAGTTAGCACTCAACGTTGGAATGCCGTGTGCTAACTGATTGATACTCACTATAAAAAAAACTGGAACTCCTGCCTTCTCGGGGGTGCAACCTTTCGTTCATGCATCAGACACTAGCCTGGATTGAACGTCTTTTTACTTTCTAAACAAAGGTTACCAATCATTCCCATGCATGTGCAAGAGTGCCTATCTCGCGCCTGAAATTCTGGACTCTCTTTCCTTTTGGTTGACCTTTGCTTCGGTCGCCTTCAACACGACTGCCCTCCCGCCGGGCTGGTGGCAATTCGGTGCTAGGACCACGGCCCCGGGAGCCACGAAGGTACTTTCGCACCATGAGCCTGAAAATCCGACTCGCGAGCCGTGGGTGCGTGGAAGGGGAGACTTCGAGTGGGTTCTCAAAAGAGAAAGATCGGTCCCTGGAAGTGGCTGGTGTCCTTTGGTTCCCGTTTGCCAAAGCGTTTGCCAAAGCGTATTCTGACTGAGAAACCCTCAGGGCGGAATAAAAGCGCTGACCAAGCAATTTGGCTGGGCAATGGTTCAGTGTGAACAAGATCACGGTGCATTTTGGCGAAACCACGGAACACATAGGGCAATGCAAAGTTCCGCATGCGAAACACGCCTCCAGCATGGATGGGCCAAATTAGTTGTTCTTCCATGATCTTCGCAAAACGAAAACCGCGCGGTGCAACTTGGAATCACGATTAAGCCCGTCCCAGCTGCAGTGGGTTCGCTTCCTGGAAGAAGAGGTCCAGCTGCTCGGAGGAGCGACGCCTAAAGGGAGGACACCAACTCCAAGCTCAGCGCCCGAAGCTTTACATATGACCAAGCTTTGGATGTAAAGGTTGGTATAGGTAGGTGTGTGTGTGTGTGTGTGTGGGTGGGTGGGTGGGTGGGTGGGTGGGTGGGTGGGTGCGTGCGTGCGTGCGTGCGTGCGTGCGTGCGTGCGTGCGTGCGTGCGTGCGTGCGTGGGTGTGTGTGTGTGTGTGTGTGTGGGTGTGCTTGTGCTTGTGCTTGTGCTTGTGCTTGTGCTTGTGCTTGTGCTTGTGCGTGCGCTTGTGCTTGTGCTTGTGCTTGTGCTTGCGCGTGCGCGTGTTTGAGGGTTCTCTTTTTGAGGGTGGACAGGGAAACCCAGGAAAAAATGCTCCTATTTCGACACATCCATACACACTACAATGGTACAGGCTGTGCTGCAAACCAACCATGCAATTAGGCAATAAGTCCAATCTAGGGCTCTACGTGATTATTGCGCACAGGGGCGTGCAAGGATGCGACCAGCGCGTTGACTGTGGCACATTCTTTCTAACTTGACTGAAATTGCGAGGCTACTGTGTCCTGTGTCATATTGGTATTCGTTGATGGGAACTGTTCGGTAGGCTCTTTGATATACGATATGTCCACCAACCGTTTTGAAGGGGCTCCCAAAAAACCTACTGGCCCATGGGGTAAAGCCTGAACGCAAACCCGCTCTACTCGGCTAAGGGAAACCTTTTGCTCCCCCGGTGACATTCCCCTAGTCCTGCGCAGACCGCGAAGAAGCCGGCTTCGGGCGCCTCAAGGAGAGCCTTCTGGAGCTCGAGCTGGGCACTGCTGTGGATGGCGATCGCTTGGCCTGGGATTTTGTCACGTCATGCTTCCGGGCAAATGAGTGACTTACGTTTTCTAGGTCCTCCAGTCGAGAGGTTAGAATCAGGGTACCAACTTTTTTCAGTGGTCTATTTTAGTAGGGGAACCCTCCCAACCAAAGAAGGGTAAAAGGGCACTACTGGGGGACCTAGTTTTGATATGTTTTGATTCCGAACCGAACAACAGGCAGCACAGTATGCAAGCCTCGGGTGATCACGGGGAAGCCGATTGGCACTGGGTCCAAGCAAGTCGCCTTGGACCTGAGTTTCTCAGATGACCTGCAAAGTCTTTTTTCAGCACGGGCGGACCTATGTGCTATGAAAATGCTATCTATGTTGGTGTGTTCTTCCTTAGCCGGCGAGTCAACCAGAAAACGTCCAGTGTCGTCCCTCCGGGTTGGACAAGATGCCTACCGTGGGTCAAGCCGCCCGACATGCGCGCAACTCGCTCAGGAGCCAACTGGGCACCTTCTTGGGTTCCGGAAGCCAAGTGACGCACCAAGCCACAAGGATCATCCGAAATCAACGGATCCTTAATCAAACCTTTCCAGCTGGCTAGTTTTTGTTTGCTGAACTTCCAGTTTGGATGGAAGCTATTTGGTTTTGGTCACTACATGAAGGATCCACAGCTTCAGACCCATGCCGTAACCACATCGCCTGCCGGCCCTTCATCATAAACACCGCAAAGATCAGCAGGTGCGAGGACGTGAAGAGCGCCTGACTTGGACTGATCTCAAGTAGGATGCTGTGTGGCATCCTGCGCAGGCGGTCAGAACCTGGAACCTGGTTAGGGTGAGCATGGTAAGCAACAATCGGTTGGCATATCCAATCAATCGGTACAATCATTTGCGCGACGTTTACGCAGACGCCAACCAGGAAATGGCTGGGAAATCCCGCACCTGTGACAAAAGTGAGAGAATGGAAGCGCAGCTAGCGCGTTGCCAAGTTCTTGTGTAATGAGTTGAGGTTCGATGTAGCACCCGGCTAGGGCAAAGGGGGAGAGTCATTAGGTATCGAAGAAGAGGCTACTTAGATGGCGCAAAGCACAACGATCCTGCCACCTAAACAAATGGATCACCAGTCTGAGCCAGAAAGGTCACCCCCCCTGTCCCGGGTTCCTTACACAAGGTATGGGCTCAAGAGGTGATCTTTGAAACCCACAAAAACTACGGGCGTATCTTTGGTATATAACCAAAAGGAAACCAAAAGGAAACCGAACGGATCCAACCTGAAAGACATGTATATGTATAATATATATATATATATATGTATTGGAAGTAGACTTGACACCTTCAACTAGAAGAGAGGAAAGGTAGGCCCTGGGGGGGGTGACTATATACATATATATATACATATATATATATACATACGTATATATAATATATATATATATAGGGAGGCCCGGCTCTTCGCTTCTTCGAGCCATGCCTTGTACCAGGCCACCTGCCGTAGCGCCCTGCGGCAGCGCATGAGGTGGAGCTCCCTGTCGTTGGCGTCGGACACCCACGGGTTGCACAAACCAGGTCTGCGTTCACCCCGAACACAAAGGCGAACCTGAAAAAAAGAAACAAAGGCTCACACCTTTTTTGTATCACTTCCTGAGGGCCCAGAAAGGTCCGCACTTGCTGCGTGCCGCTAAGATGGTCTTCCAGGCAAGTATGAAATTCATGAACTCGGGAAGCTGCCGAACAAAAACCATCTCCGATCCCACCTCTGTCGCTGCAGAAAAAAGGCAAAGCCGCCGGCTATGGCAATGCTCGTCAGCATGCTCTGCTCCTGACGCGCGAAAAATCCCCAAGTACAAAGGATTCGGCGAATTTTCTTTGTGACAACTGTGCAGGTTTGGCGCGCCAAAGCAATCATGCAAAGCTCTGACGTGCATAGGAACGATCTGCAACCCGATCAGAAACTCAACAGGACGTGCCAAAAAGCCCTGCTTACAACAAGTCTTTGGCGAATTTCTAGTAGAGTTTCCTGATGTTGGCCCCATGAAAGGCCCAACGTCCAATGTCCACTGCCTGTTTAGCACCAGAGGAAGCTATCTGGCAGCACGAGTTGGACACCAAGGGTAGCGCAACATTTGTTCATATGCCAGGCATGCTAGATAGAGAGGACATAGGCCGACGCTTGTGCAGGTAGAAGCACACTCAATAAAAACATTGCACTAACATGCACCACGCCAGAAGGAAAACCAACTGAACCTGCATGTGCCTAGGAATAAGGCACTTACTGGCTGACATGATAAGACATCTAGATGTGTCAAAGCCGTGCTAGACATGTGAAACAACTTACACTAGGGACAAGCTAGACCATACACAGGACATTCTCTGCATGAATCATCCCAAGAACCACAAACACACCAAGGGACATGTTCTAAAATTGGGGAACCCGGGCGCCTACTACAGGTGGGGGGCCTTCATGGTGCTTGTCAGGTTGCCTACTTGCTGTGAGGGTGCAAACCCCAAGGCCAACATGGAAACCTAGTCAGGATGTCCTCGCAGGTTCATGCAAGTTCAAGTGGCCAAGGTTGCCAGGGGAAGCCCAAAAGATGCTGAGACACTCCCCATGCATGCACGCTGCGCAGGTGTCAACTTTGAATTCATCCGAAAGACCGGATTTGATCAGGGACACGTTCCCTTCGTGGAGAATGCAGTCTATTTTGTGTGGGTGGGAGACTCCCCTGATCAATGTGTTGCGTCGGATGCATCTAAAGTCGACAATGCCTCAGCTTGCGCCATGGAAACTTCTCAGACCGAATCTGCCTTCAATCGGCAAAAGTGGCGATTGGTGGAGTGGCGTCCTTCTTTCCGAGCACTCAGCGACAAATGTAAGCGAGAGAATGTACGTTCTGGGATGCCGCCGCAAAAGCAAGCTGAAGAATTTGTTCCTGAGATAGGTTTATGTTAGGTGTCCCAGTTCCCCAGTGACCCTGATACAGAATACTGCGACCCTATGTCAAGCCAGGCACCAGCCCACTGAACCAACTGAAAGAGTGCCAAGAGTTGGGGTCCTGCCGAGTCTTCACCAAGTAGTGCGCCAGCTTGTGCGGGAAATCTGCCGAGAGCTTCTTGGCCTAAGTTTGTGCTCAGAATTCCCGCACACATAGAAGCTGACTGGGGCAATGGGGGGGTGAGCGGAGTGTCTGGAAAAGAGTCGCTTCCCTTTTTCGAGGAGTTCTGGGAGGCTATGGGAAAAAAACCTAGCCAACACGCCACCGAATAGGAACCTCTGTTTCTGCACGTCTTAAAAGCTTGTTGGCCTGCCAGGACCGCGGTCGGATGGTCAATTGCTGAGATCGAAACCAAACAGCTAGAAGCTAATCCCGAGCCCAGCAAAAGTTTCAGACGACTTGCAGACAGAGATCATCCAATCCATGTGACCTTTGACTCACGCATGTCCGTCTGGACACCTTCTGATGAGCATGACATGACACGACCACTGCGATCGTGTCTCAAAAATGCCGTGACGAAAGACTTCCCCAACTGATCCCACCAAGTCTGGACTTGCACCACATTGCAATGGCAAACAAAAAAGTACGGAGAGGCGCAAGAAGTCCAGAACAAACCTAGGTCACTGCGGCATACAAAAACCGCCACCCATAACTTTTTCAGCTTTGCCAAGCTGACGCAAACAAACCCTAGACTTCAACAAAACCTTGCCTTGAACCACGTCTCACCTTCGTCACTTTTTGTTGCAGGCAAGGCACCCAAGAAGGCCGCCGCTTTCTCTCCATGCGCCGGCGGCCCAGCCAGAGCTGCAAGATCTGCGGTTTTTGTTTTTGGCTGGTGCGGGCGTGTCGTTTTCAAGGTTGGACCCCCAAACATGGTGGGCTTCCTCATGTTGTCAAAACCTCATTTTCGAGGCACATGGAATCGACTGGACATACCCCAAACATGGAAGGCTTGCTATGCCTCGTTTCATGATGGATGCCCAGCGACTTCTTCTACAGGCGGGGCCTTTAGAGGGGTTGAGGGTTGAGGGCCCCTTACCTTGGCACGTACCCAAATGCCTGACGGGGCCAGAACCAACCGGCCATGGCACAGCAAAGAGAGCGTTGATCAAAATCAATAGGCCAAATTGCGTGATATCATTTGGCGCTTCCGCGTGCTTCCGCGCGCTTCCACGCTGCGGGCGGCTTGCGTCTCTTTCTTGCCAAGCCAACACAACTAGATATTGAGCTTGTTTTCCACCACCCGTTTCTTTTGTGAAAAGCGTTGCCAACAGGATCACTGCAGCGCCAATGTTGATTCACGCGAGCCTGGCCTCCAAACAGATTTGCAACCGCAAACGTGAAGCCTCACAACACACCGCGGCTACGATTCCCGTACTGGGCCAGCGAGAACAACACATCACACACCAGTCATCCAAATCACGGAACCCTTCCGCGGTCCTTCCGCGCTCTTCCTCCAGTGTTCCGCGAATTGAGCCCCACATCAATCTCCACGCATATTAGGCCCGGGGGGCAAGAACGATTTGTTTGGCCCGAACAAATCGCTTTTAGGCCCGGGCAGCAAAAACGATTTGTTTGGCCCGAGCAAATCGTGTTTTTGCCCGGGGAGCAAAAACTATTTGTTTGGCCCGAACAAATCGCTTTTAGGCCCGGGAGCACAAACGATTTGTTTGGCTCGAACAAATCGCTTTTAGGCCCGGGCAGCAAAAACGATTTGTTTGGCCCGAACAACTCGTTTTTAGGCCCGGGGCGCAAAAACGATTTGTTTGGCCCGAACAAATCGTTTTTTGGCCTCGGGGGCAAAAACGATTTGTTTGGCCCGAACAGATCGTTCTTAGGCCCGGGACGCAAAAACGATTTGTTTGGCCCGACCGGGAGCAAAAACGATTTGTTTGGCCCGAACAAATCGCTTTTTAGGCCCGGGTGGCAAAAACGATTTGTTTGGCCTGACAAATCGTTTTTTGGCCCCGGGAGCACAAACGATTTGTTTGGCTCGAACAAATCGCTTTTAGGCCCGGGAGCAAAAACAATTTGTTTGGCTCGTTTTTTGGGGCCCGGGGAGCAAAAAACGATTTGTTTGGCCCGAACAAATCGCTTTTAGGCCCGGGGAGCAAAAGGCGGGAGCAAAAACGATTTGTTTAGGCCGGCCATTTCGCTTCAACTGAAAATTAAATCTCGGCCCAGCCGGCCACTGCAGAAGAGGCCTGCGTAGTGACTCGGTAAAGCACACTGAACTAGCCCCGGACTGCAAAGTTAACCCGGCGCTCTGCCGCTTCTTGCGGGGTGACGGCCAAAACAGATTGTGAAGCCAGTGAATCCTGGGTGCAGAAACGATTTGTTGGCCCGAAGAAATTGTTTTTTGGCCGGGGCGAAAACAATTGTTGGGCCCAAGCAAGGGCTGGGGAGCAAGAGATTTCTACACCTTTTCACGCTCTAAAAATGTTCCCCTTCCGCGCCCTTCCGCTGCGCAAATTTCGTAGTCAACCTCCGCCGGCCCTTGCGCAAGCTTCTGCGGCCTGCGGAAAACCTTCCGCGCGGATTGATTTCAGCACTCCCTACTTAAATTGCTTTGAGCATTTTTGATCGCTGCTCAAGAGACATCGACCAGAATCGGGGGGAATGCAACAGGTTCATCGTGGTCAAAAGGTCAAAAGCAGGGGAATAGAAAACAGCCTGCACTCCCTCTTTCAACATTCCTACGCCGACCACAGCTTGTGCAATAGCCCAATAACCGTCAACCAACCCTCTGGCGAGTGCCCCAAACGTTGCGAAAACGAGAAACCGCAAGCCATAGGCGACCAGGGCTTGCAGGAAAGACCGGAATGCATTCGCCAAGCCCTTGAGTGAACTGACCCAAACACCAGGAACTTGTTGCTTCTCACCAGCGCCTCTCCAAGCAGAGTCCACAAACTGGGGCGTGCGGCCATGCCATATCTTAAGCTGAGGTGCTGAACAAAACGTCTTACGACTTCTGCTTGCCGAAACCTCTAGGCGCCCGTTCAATTGCAGTGGATTCCCTTTACGCACTGTGGTTGACATACCGCAAACCAATCGAGGCAAACCACGCCTTCATCTGGGCGTATTCGATCTGGTGCTGCTCCTTCACAGGCCTGCCCAGAAGCGGAAGCCAAAAGTGAAACCGATCATCAAGCAAGCTCTCGTGACGGGCTCCTCCCCTCACTGCAGCCGCTCCGATCGAACTAAAAGCACATCCAGCAACCCAAACGATGGACTCAAGTGGGGCGAGAGAAACTGGCCAACTGATGTACTCACGATCCTTATGATTTGTTCTCTTTGCAGGGCTTTCAGGTGCGAAGGATCGCCAGGGAAAAAACACACACATTTCGAAGAACTGCCTGGGGCTCCCCTCTCGCGAAAAGCCGCGCAACCCCTGCCTGCCCTCAGGAAAGACCAGCTCCCCAAAGCTGACGCCCTGCGCGAGCTAGGCTTCCCGCTGACACGATGGGGGGGAGGGGCATTCATCTGTGGAATGGGAAAGAATGAAAGAATGCGTACCAGGACCCTCCAGTGGCTGGCAAATGACCCCAAAACACGCCTGGACCATTTGCCAGCCATTGGGGGGTCCTGGTTATGGGCAGAATTACGCGGTCAGTGTCCAGTGGAATGGAAACAACAGCACGCTCCAGTGATGCTGCTGATGATCCGTAGAAGCGAGTGCTCACTGCCATAAAAAGCGAAGATGAGCGATTCATTGGTTTTAATCAGTGTAATTAGTGAGTGTAGTGCTTCTGATGGGTTGCTCAGCTCCGAACCCACCAGAAATCACACGTGAACCGGCTACGATTAAGTGCTGGGTGCTTGATGGGCCCATTCCAGACAGCAAACTGCATGGAGCACCATGGATTTCTGCTTGAATTAGAAAGGGTATGCAACGTATGCGTGCCACTGGTCTTGAATCCACTTTCCCCACTGAGCAACTCAGACATGCGCCGCCCTTCGCTGATACTGAGTGGTTTTCTTCTGTCAGGGTCCTGGCAAGTCATCGCAAGCGCAACCCCTTCAAGAACAAAGATGCTGTGATAACCCGCTGTTGTGGATTGCATGCATGCAGGTGCCCGTATGCTTTTTTGGCTTGCTCGCGCGTGGCGCATGATTCCAGGGTTTGTTGCAAGCCATTTCAGGTGAAACGGCCGCCGGGAAGGAGGAATAAGGGCCCTCTTACAATACCCTAAAAGGCTCTGGGCGGCTCACAAAACACTGAAAGAGTCTCGAAGCCAATTGGGTGCGTTCCGGAGTGTTTTTCAGTTGCCGGCTTCCTACATCTTCCTACTTTGATGTGCTCACCTTCGCATACGTTGAGGTTGCGGGGCCAAACAAACAGAAACGGAGCCGTTGCGTCGCCATGGGGTAGCTTACCACGAATTGATCAGAGCAAACTTCGGAAAGACATCACGGAAAACATAGCCTTGGCCACTTGTCTGGTTCGGATTCAAAACGGCAATGCCGGCAAAAGCTTCAACGTCTTTGCTTTCATGCTCAGCACCCGACCGCAGCGCTGTGATGCTAGCACAAAACTCTTTGAATCAAAGCTTCGCGTTGAGAAGCGAGGTAAAGCGCATTCAGCCCAATACTTGCCTGCGACCCAAACCACCCTAACGCATCGGTGAAGGCCAGAGCACAGTCGCTGGTTTAAGGCGGGTAAGCAAGAGGTATCGACTTGTTTCTGGGGATTGTTGCTAAAGTATCTCCCATCTAGCATCCAAAGGGAAGGGGTAGGGAATGCCCAGTTTCATTCACAGAATTATTCCTATCAAAAAGACAATGGAACAACAAGTGAAATTTATGGGATCTCCCCCCCTTTCAAATCGATATGTTGGAGTTGCTAAGGCTTCTCGTAAACATTCGCACAGGAGTACATGCCTGAGGAATAACCTAGTTCCCTGGTGTTGGCCTCCAAGGTAGGATGTCGTCTCTTGAAAAAGATGGAGTGGGCTGGAGACCACAGGTGACGCCTGGCACCCGTAAGTAGGTCAAGCCAGAAAAACATGCTTGCCTTCTTCACATCACGGCGGGCGGCCAATGCTTTGTGCACTCGACCTGGCTTGGGCACCAACGGGCAACCATTGCGGAGGAAGACAAGGCGAGTCCCCCAAATTGCAAATTGACACTGCAATACCACTGTACGTCTCTCATTGGTGCATTTCCATAAACAAATAGCGGACCCTTCCATATTCCAGGGTAGCTTAGCCTTGGCACAACCAAATGGGGGGCCCAAACCCTTCCCAAAGTAGTGCTGCACCTTCCCTTGGCAAAGCAAGGCGGGCGATGGTCAACGGCTGGTGGGTCACTGGAAACTTGGAGAAGAACACGGTTTTGCCGCAAACGTGAGTGAAACCACCCGCTCATGCCCCCTTTGAACCCAAATAAGCACCTTCAACTCGAATGCTCTGATACGACAGAGAGGGCCCAAATTGTTGGTATTCCTTTTTAGTAACCCTTCAAGACCACCCCAAAAATTGACACCACTCATCAAAGCACACAGGTGATGGGCTGACGAGGTCAAAGGTTCAAGGTGTGGAATCTGACGATGCCCATCTCCATCTCCGAGGGAACGCCCCGTCCGGAAAGAGTTGGCTAATTCAGTCTGAAAGAATTCAGACTGAAAGCATAAGCCATCAGCAGATTTGTATTTGGGCCATGATCCCAAGACCAAGCTGTATTGCAAACCAGCGAGTGCCGATATGGGAACCTCTCAGGCTCCTGCAAGTGAGCTGCCGCCAAAAGACTTCTGTCCCTAACAGGAATATCGCTAAATCCTTCGTTCTAGATGGTCGTCTTAGTGTTGCGGTTGTTTGGCCATGCATGCGTCGGCTTGCGGTTTTAAGTCCCTCGTGTTTTTGTTTTTACGTGCCGCCAACCCGCACCTCTACAGGCTAGTGACACTATGTTCAGCTTCTGTGCAAGCCTCGTATGTCCGTTTCGTTCCATGCCTGAAGAAACATGAGGCAACCCACTCTTTCCAGCTTTATATGGTCGCAACTTTGTTTTTGGAGAAACGAAGCAACCTGGCCCCCTCCAGTACGTGTCCTTTATACACACCTTTTGGCTGGTAGCTCAAGTGGTGATTGAGTCTGACTTCGCGCTATCAAGTCAAAATTCAATCTATGGATGAGCAATGCCTTGAAACATTTGCAAGTAGTTCTTCAATCCAAGTTGACTCTTGGTGGCTGAGGGAATGCCAAAGCATATCCTGACAGCCGACTTGCCAAGCGACTGCGCACGAGGCGAAGTGACTCACATGCATCAATCCCCTTCTCTGCCTGGAGACTTCCGCTCGACAAACTTGGTCTTCTTGTACTGCTTTACCTGCTTTGACACAATTTGAACCACTGCCAGCTGCATCTCACCCCTTCATGGCCCCATGACCCCTTGTTATGCCTGTGGTTCTGTGGGCTATTGGTGCTCCTCTGATCGCGAACGTTGTTCCACAAAACCAAGGCAGGCAATGCCTTGCGCACCGTCTCGGGGTACAAGGTCTTCTCAACTTGCATCGAACAACGCAAACCTGAGCTGAGTGTTTGCAAACATCGCTGGTGCTGGCGAGGTCCTCTCTCTGACTCTCTCTGCCCCCCACTCACTTCCTGAGTGGACGGGACAAAAAGATACAAGAAGAGTCCGAACTTGATGTTTACCCAAAAAGTCAAAAGTCCACCAGGGAGTGAGCCTACATCGGCCTACATAGTCTCCATTTCACCCAGTTGATCTGTTGGGAATGCCGCTTGACCCGAGCCGGGAGCCCCATCCACCCGTCAGGTGCCAGCCCAGGTGAGCCGCGCGGCCCTCCGCCGGCTTGCTTTTGCGCTTCTCCCATCGACCGATCCCCGAATCCCCCCATGCGAATTGGGGAAAAGGCGTTCAAAGGAAGCCATGGAAGAGTCCAACCCAGCAGCACCCCGTTTTTTCGCCTTCTTCATGAGCTTCTTCATCGCCCGCGTCGGGCAAGCCTCCAGCTCCGAGTCCGAGTCCGTGCCGGTGCCTCAGGTGGCAAAAGAACCTCTGCGTGCCACAAGCCGTAGAAAATCTGACATGCAGTCCTTACGCATTTTATAGCGGCTCGATGTAAACTTCACTCTCCCTGCCGCAGCAGCGACAAGCACTTCAACATGTAGGGCGGAAGAAAAGCCGTGCTGCCCATTTGCCTTACCTTGGTGCGATAGGGAATGACCTTCCGCGCGTTGGGAATGACCTTCCGGGATTCCCAAGGAAAGCACCAGTTGGATGGTTTACAGGGGTGATTCCCTCGGCTGTCGCGTCCGAGCCGGGCCGAGGCGCTGTAGTGAACCCGCAACTTCGGGGGCACGAAGCCTTTGGCGCTCGCCTGCGCGAAGTTCGCATGTCCCTTCGAAGCCGAGAGCGTTTCTGAGAAACCGCCTGGTATGTCCGGGAAGTTTGCCACCTGGGGAGGTGAAGCCCTGCCGAAATCCGCCAACTCCCCGCCTTGCTCATGAAGACCACGTGGCAGTCCGTCTTTGCCTCAGGTCAGAAAATCAAGCTGCGGCTATTGGCTGGGAGCTGTTCAAACACCCCACGTGCTGCATAGGAATGCATAAGATATCATGTCATGCGCGTGCTTCTGACAGCTGGTGCTCATGCACCATGAGCTCTGTTACAGCAATGTCGCACGTGCTCAAACGTAAACACATCATGCGTGTTCAAGCATGTTTGGTGCAGATTATTGCCGGATGTGTGCGGCACGTGGATTTGGAACCTAATTCCAAATAGCATCAATGGAGCACGGCAAGAGGGTATGGCGTTCCAGCTAGTTTTTGTGGGCAATTCTTCGTGAGTTGCCCAGTGTCCCCCCAAAATGAACCGTAGACGACTGGACATGTTGAGCAACCCTCGTATGCCGTTTTTGAGGGAGCCCGTTTTTTGGGTTCTAAAAGGAGAGCCAAAAAGGAAAACCACCGTTTTTGGGGGTCCCCCCTTAAAAGAAGACACACCCACATCCTATGACTGCACTGAGCCAATCCACGAGCTGACTGTGACAAGAAAGGATTTGTGGCTGTCGTTTTCGTGCTTCGGCCAGCGACATCTGCGATTTGCTTGGTCTCAGATTCATGTAATTTGGGGTTGAAACACGCATCGCCTTACTGTTGCTCACAAATAGGTGGGTCATATGAGTGACCAAGCGTTAGTGGATTGAGGCAAAGCAGGGGCATTAGGCTAGCTGCTGTTTGGAGGAACACCTGCTGAGTATCTTCCTACGCTTGAAGAACGTCATTTGGACGGAACGTGGCAGCATCACCATCGCCATGACAGCCTGCAGCTGTTTCGTCGCTGCAAAATACCAGAGAGAAACAAACAGCAGCAAACATGTGGCGATAAACAGGCTGACCTTTTGGGTTAGGGCTACTGACCGATGTCTTTCAAGTCCCTGGCAGGCGAGAGGACACAAACTAAGGGACACGAGGAAGCAAATTCAATCCCGAATAACATGTTCCGAGACGTGTGGCCGGGAACGCAGCTAAGTTTTTCAGCTTTTCTCGGGGCATGCCACAAGTTGCGTAGAAACATTCACTTCAGCCATGGCCCTTAGACGGACCAAATTGCAAGACCTGGCCGGCGGCCGATGACATGAGCCAGGTCTTGTTGGCCGCGTGGGCCCCCCAAAATGGTATGTTTCCTTTTGGGCTCCCTTTAAAAGGGGCACGGGCACCCGCCAAAACAAACATGGCCATTTGTCCCAAGAGAGTACCCCTGGCTGGCCCTGGTCTAGAACCCCAAGCAGTCGACTTGTCCCAAGGCACTGTGAGGACCACGAAGAAGCCGCTGAAATCCTGAGCAAGTGCCAGTGGCCCTCTTCCGTTGAAATGCGTGGCTTTTCGAGCGGCCCAAGCCAAGGACTGCACACAAATCAGCGTCCAAGATCTTGAGGTCTCGTTCTATTATGGTTGATTAGGCTTGGTTGCTGTTGACCCCCCTGCAAAAAGTTTAACTTTGTGGGGGTTTAGTGGAAATCCCGCTAATTTCCAAAAAGTTAAAGTCTAAAGATCCAACCCAATAGCAGTCAAGTAGACGCACAAGTTCATCAGGCCTTGGCATAAACCCGGACGAATTACTGCCACAGCTCAAGCGGGATTTCGGCCCAGGAAAGCTTCCCATTGCCCAGTGAGTAAGCCCTGGGAACTTTGGATTGGCCCGGACGACCGTACACGTTTGAGGCATCCCCAAAGGAAATGCAAGAAGGGTAGCTAGGGATAACTCAAAGATAAAATGAGCATCTTCCCTTGCCCATGTCAGGGGTGGCATGGGAGAAGCAAGTGCAACACCCATCCAACAAGACCTGGCCCCAATGCCCCTGGGCCCAAACCACATCGACAAAGCCTACCGTGGAAAGCCAACCCCAACCCCAAACCCTAAGCAAAACCCAAGGTCCAACACGAAAGTCTTTCGCAAGGTTCTATTGAGCCAGGTTACAGTTGCAGCCCAGGGACGGTCAATTGTCAAAACGCGGAACCCATGGATTCAAGCCTACCTTTGGCGTAATTCGTATGGAACCCCGCTGACACCCTGGTAGTTGCGTTCTACTTCCCTTGTTTTTTGCACATCACCTATTGGTTGCTGTGTTGTGCCGGCATCTGGGCCCAGCATGCCCCCCCCCCATCTGGGCCCCGAATGGTTGGTGCCTCGCGAGTTTACCACCATCCCCCACGCTTCGCGACTTTGAAGCTCCGGTGCCTCTGAACTAACTACACACACACACACACACACGCAAGCCCACTCACGCACGCGCACACACACACACACACACCCGCGCGCGCGGCCTTAGGGGAAGGCGACTAGCTCACCCGGCAAGCTGAGTTCTGCCACAATTCAGCCGGATCCCCTGTACTCAAGGTAACGTAGAGGGGGAACTAACTACACACCTGATTCTCTCGTGACCATCACACATATGGTCTAAAGTAGCCCACAACCCGATTCGCTTTTTTTTTGTTTTTCTTTTTTGGGGGGGGCCTGAACTTACAAGAGGTTCGGTCAACATGTCCGGAAGTCTAGGATTCACTTGGGGGGGACATGGAGGAGCTCACGTCCCCAGAAGCCAGGGAAACATTTAACCAGGATCATGCTTCATATTATGATCCACTAGATTCAGTCCCAAATGCATATGCCCCAAACACACACACACACACACACCTCTCTCTCTCTCTCTAAAGTGGGAACCCATTCTCAATATACCCATCCTACTGCTAGCTATACGATGCCATAGGGGGGTTGTACTCAACACAAAAGTGACGTGGATTCCGACCCCAAAAGGGGACCCCCTTCAAAAGCCAGACTCGACCACGGCGCAGTGGTGAAGCTCAAGCTCTGCGCGATTGCAGGGGCACGGAACTCCCTCAAGGGACTCTCCTCCGCAGCCTGCGGGCCCGTGGGCTCTGAACCCACTGGTTCCCTTGGGTTTCCTTGGGTTTCCTTGAAAACCTCAAATGGTTGCCTGCACACAAAATGCCACGCCCATTCGGAATTTCCGCTCGTAAGCATCACCTTTTGGGAACCAAGTTGGGTTGATGTTTCAAGGGGAAAGTTGGGGAATGCTGTTGGACCAAGTTAAATAGAGCTTGGGGGACCCCTTTGTTGCTTCCAACCCCAAACCGATCTCTTAACCGTTTCACATCTGGGCTTGTAGGCAAAAAAAAACAAAAAAACAAAAAACAGGTCAGGGAACGGGAAGCCCATAGGGCTATAGCTCAATTTGACGGCCGTATCCAATCTTGTCCCACACCAAAAAGGGAAACCCACCAAGCACCATAAGCAAAAGGGTGCCACTGCATCCGAGCCGAAATGAAGAGAGCCTTGAGCCTGCAAAGCCATGCCTGAGGGGCGGTCCAAGGCAGGCAGTGGGCAGTTGGGTTGCATGTAGCCATGTGTGGTTGCTAGTGTGTGGTTTGCCTTCGTTACTGCTTCCGGCTCAAGCCATATATCATTCACCAGCAAGCAAAATCTCTGCGAGGTGTGACTGTCTCACTACGCAATTGGACCCTGATTGCCTCCCCCCAAAAAAATATCAAGAGGAGATCCTTGCTTTAACAAGGGTCGGTTATCTCCGGGGGCCTCGCAGTTCGCGTCTCAACAACTCTCCTCTGTAAAAAAACAAATGTGCACGTTTCACAACTTCCTTGAGCCAGGCCTTTCTGGAAACATGTGGGCCTACGCAACGGCCGTCTTGCTCATTGGAACATGCAGCCCGGTGTCAATGCGGCTACACAAACAGGTCCAACCACTGTCAAACCATTGCAAGGCCATGCAACAAGGGCTAAGGGCTGAAACCACAGCCAGCTCTACCCATGAGCACCTGCCGCGCGGTGTCGCAAATCCCCAGGGCGAAGGGCTCCGGAGGCAGCTTGCCGGAAGGTTGCTCCTCGAAGGCTCACGCAAGCAAGGTTCGTCGTCTTTCTGCATCATTGTCATCCCTCAACGCATCCTGTAAAGGAAACCCACTGCAAACTGGACTCCGGCAATGAATGTCTGACCCGGCATTTTAAAGGGGAAGCATGTGGGCAGCCTTGACAACAAACTAGTGGCAATTACCTCAGCCGCTGTTTCTGCTGTTGCTAGCTGAAGATCGCCTCATGCCCAGAACCCCGCGACCCAACGCGTCATTGCAGCATGTTGCAGCCGATCTACATACAACAGCTTGCGTGCAATCCACCAGGAGTTGTTCGCAAACACCCACCGTTCAACAAGCCACGTGAACCAGCGCGAGGCACCCGCGATGCCCTGCAGCCAAGACACCTTTGTTTTTTCAGAGCTAGCGGCGTGCTGCCATCAAACCACGGGGCAACCAAAGTCCGACCCAAATGCGGCTTTGAATTGGGTACCAAGGGCTAGACCCACCAACCAGCACGCCAGCCAGCCAACCAATCAAACCAAATCAAATCAACTGACTCAATAAATCAATCAATCAATCAATCAATCAATCAATCAATCAATCAATCAATCAATCAATCAACCAATCAAATCAATCAACCCCTGAATCCCTCAATCCATCAATCAATCAATCAAATCAAATCAAATCAACTCAAATCAAATCAAATCAAATCAAATCAATCAATCAATCAAAGCAAATCAAATCAAGTCAAGCTGCCAACCGACTCCACCAACTCAATCAACTCAACCTACTCAATCAACTCAACCAACCGACCGACCGACTGACCGACCAACCGCCCCACCAACCAACCAGCCAGCCAGCCAGCCAACCAACCAAACAAAAAACAAACAAGCAAACAAACTAAGCAACGAACAACACTGCGGCGCACCGCGCCGTACCAAGAGAGAGCAAGCAAGCAAGCAAGCAAGCAAGCAAGCAAGCAAGCAAGCAAGCAAGCAAGCAGGCAAGCAAGCAAGCAAGCAAGCAAGCAAGCAAGCAAGCAAGCAAGCAAGCAAGCAAGCAAGCAAGCAAGCACGCACGCACGCACGCAGGCAGGCAGGCAGGCAGGCCAGCCAGCCAGCCAGCCAGCCAGCCAGCCAGCCAGCCAGCCAGCCAGCCAGCCAGCACACAAACAAACAAACACACAAACACACAAAAAAAACAAACAAACAAAGAAACAGTCAAACAAACAAACAAACAAACAAACAAACAAACAAACAAACAAACAGACAAACAGACAAACAGACAAACAGACAAACAGACAACCAAACAAACAGACAAACAAACAAACAAACAAACAACAAAAAACACATCACCGACCAAGCACACAAACAAAACAACACTCTCGCTGAGAACTTCAACAGTTAGCTTCTGCCGAAGGAGCCGAGAGTGAAGAGGTTGTGTACAAAACATTGAAGTGAGCCATCCCCATGACGAGATGTTCAGGTTCGGGGGGATTGGCATCACTTTTTTCTTGGCACACATCCGGGATACGTAAGAACATCTGTCAGATTCCGACCTATATGTTGTCTATACATGAGCCCGGGAAACCCCTGCCACCCAAATACAAAGTGGTGGGGGCCACCAAAGTTCATATTGGTTTCCAATACTAGTGTTGGAGAGTTCGGGAAAGTGGCGAAACACTTCCACCTTCCCTTGTCACCAGCCTCGTTGTCCGTGATGTGCTTGTCCTCGTTCAGGCGGCAGCTCACCCTCGGCTTACCGACTGCAGGATCATGGGTGTGTCTTTTTCGGGGGGAACCCTTTTTGGGGCTGGTAAGGGAAACCAAAAGGACACCAACCATTTTTTGGGGGTTCCCCTGTTTTGAGAACCAATATGGATTTCTCAGCTTTTCTAAGGAAAGACTCAAAGACTTACACGGAATTCACATGAATTCACTACCTGAGACAGGCAGGGTGTCGGTTTGGTCCTTTTCGGTGGTCAGGTTCTCCTGCTTTTCGTGGGCTTTTTGTGTGGGCCTGAAGAGTGCTTTTGAGCCCCTCCGAAGCCCTTGAAAACATGAGGCATTGGGAGAGGTGCTCCGTCTCTATTTCTGCGACCCATTCCCAGTTCCAAATTCACCATGTCCTGGTCGACATGAAGCCGAATGAGACCTCCATCCCACCCCGAGGAACTCAGCTCAGGGATGCAATCGGAGACCGCCAACTGGTGATTTCATGTGATTTCACACTGGCCCAAATGAGCTCAAATGCGCCCAACCAACTTCAAGGTGATCTGCAACGTTGCCAAACCGTCTCTTTGCATTCAGTGAGGCACTTGTGGCAGCGAAACAGCAAACCAGCAACTCGGCACACCGTGCTGCCTGCCGCCTGACTGGCTCGTGGGGCATCCCCTCTCATTAATCATGAGGAATGGGAAATCCCCTTCATTTCTTGGGGGGCCCTCAAAACAAGACAGACCCCCTGCCCCACTGGAACACCTTGGTCCCACATACGCCGCTGCATTCGCGCTAGATGCCTTAAGGCCCGGGGGTAACCTGAAAGCTTTGTTGAAACATGGTGAAGCTACAGGTTGCCACCCTCAGGATCCCGCTTCTCAGAATGGTCCAAGCAGGCCTGTTGCAATGCACCGTTCCATCTTGCAAAGGGTGTAATAGCCCAACACCACTTCATGCCACCTCACGTCGTGCATTTACTTGCCAGCTATCCGACAAAGGACAACCCCCCCCCAAAGCATGCAACTCACACTGCGTTTGTCGGCCGAGCATCTGCACCACAAAATCCCCCGCGTCCCCGTGCTGCGGCAGACGGACATCCAGCGTGCGTGTCATGCCTAGCAGGGATTCATATGCAGCAGAGTGCACAATTTGTCTCCTTGGGATCGGAACCTTTGTAAGGTATCGAATGGCTTTCCAGAGGGCGACCAGCTTTCGCTTACTCTCGGTTTCATTTAGGACCTGCGCTGCCATGCAAAAATCCAAAGATGAGAGCCAAAGCAATGCCGAATTCCAAAACCACCACATGTTTTGAGTCAAAGTGGCCTCCAAACCTTTCAGCTCGAGTCCAACTCTCGCACTTGAGGGAAAGGTGGGCCTTCACTGCCTTTGGATTCCGGAGCGCCTGCGGCGATGCGGCACTCGTAGCGTTGCCCTGCCTTGATCACCTGAGTGCAGCTGAAGTGTTTATTGTTTAGGCCTGATTGGTTTGTTTGGAACCCTTTGGTAAACACGGAGAGTTGTGAAGCTGCCAACCCCTTCAAGCCGGACTTCCGTGTCACCTTCTGCCCGAAAGGGTCCGAACCCAAGCGCGATGTGGCTCCCTCCCCCCTTCCTGCGTGGAGAAGAACTCCTAACCCCGCAAAAGAACAATCAGGTTTATCGAATACGAAAAATATGCACTGGTCAAAGGGAAGGTAGGTGTGCTGCGCCACCCAACCAAAACCTGGCACCTGACCAAAGAACGACGAACAACCCAACCCAAGGCCAATCCCAAACCCTAAGCTAAAGCAAGCCCAAACACTAACATGTTGGCGTGTCTTTTTCATTGGCTACGGCTTGGGAAACATATGCCTAACATGCGTCCCAACCTCACACCGGAGAGTGCTCTTTGGTGGCCATGGAACCCGAAAAGAAACCCGTTCATCAAGTCCCTTTCTCGGCACCTAACTATCACCTGCTTGTGGTTAACCCTTTTAAGCTGGGAAAAACATGTGGTTGAAATGTCCCCAGCCCATTAAGGGGGGGGACGGCTGGAAATGTAATTTGCATTCTCTGGGTTTGCCACCTAAAATGTAAGATTACATTCTGGAGACGGCCAAAATGTAAGATTAATCAGCAAGGCACCTCGCACATAACCAAGTTCCAATTTCATGAACTTACCCCATCCCCAATGCCTTCCAATGCCTTCCGCGCATGAGCCACATCTGCCCCTCCAGCATCATCAGCTTACATTTTGCGACGCCTCCGGACCTAGGGGGAGGGATGAGAAGATGTAACTTGTCAAGTTGTTTTGACCCCCCTCCCCCCACCCCAAAAAAAAACGGAAATACCTGGACCTTCCGACATGTAAAATTAACGCCGTTTCCCAAAACCCCTATGCTTCCAAAGCCTATTTAGAAAATAGTCGTTGTGACAACCCCGGTTTTTTGATAAAGACCATTTTTTTGATGACGAGCGGCAGCCTCCGTTTTGGACTGGAACAGGGGCTAGGAAAGACTTGAAGCTAAGGCCGCCTCATAGGATCCCAAAGCCGAATATGTATTTTCATATGCAGCAATATGTGTTACAATCTTCAAGGCTAGTTGCTTCTATTTTGCTTGGTTTCTTAACATGGCCATGTAGCGCGTGAGGGTGAATCCTCTTCTGACCGTTTCTGTCCTTCTTTTGCCCCACCCTCTTAGCCAAACCAAACAAAACGGGACAGCCAAAATCTTTACCCATCACGGCAACCATTCCAGGATGAGAATGTTGATCTTCTGGGTCCCCTGCAAAATTTGCCCGTTCTACGCCAAAAAATAGTGGTTCTACGCCAAAAAAATGTGTTTCTACGGTTTTTCTACGCTTTGTCTACGGTTTGTCTACGCTCACGTCGTTTTTGGAGCTGTGTGAAAATTGGGGCGGAAAAAACAAGCACACAATTGCTTGTTGTTCGTGCCACCTGCGCAAATTGCAGAGGACAATTCTAGAATTTGCTAGGCTCCGTCTACGCAAGACTTTCAGCGTGCATTGCGCAAACACGAAAGGGCGCCGAGGACCCTATCAATAAATAGTAACCTACTGGCTCCCAAGGCTTCTTAAGAGGTTGCAATAGCAGGCGTAATTTTGATAAAAACAAAGTATCAACCCAAAATGGACCCCAAAGGCCAATGTCAAAAATAGGGGTTGTCAATGCAAAAAATAGGGGTTGAACAACTCCTATTTAAAAAATAGTCGAGGAAGCATAGGGAAACAGCAATATGTTTTGCCAGTTGCTGAAAAACCGCTCTTTCTGAGAAAAAGCGCTCGTCGTGAGTCCAGCTCGTGACCAGGCAAAACAAAAAATACAAAACGCCGGTTCGCCGGCAAATTACGCCGTTTTGACAGCAACTTGCGCCGTTTTGCAATTTTGATTGATGCTGGAGTGTGCAAAAACTGACACTGCCGGCAGGCGGAAATCATCGTCGTTGGGTCAAAAAAAAAGTTTTTGACAAAACAGCAATAATTTTGCACATGTTAGAAGACCGAGGTATACACCTGGGGGGGGGGGGGAGAGGGGTCCGCTTACAACTTTTTTTGGGTGGAGGGGGGAGCCGAACATGCAAAAAAAAATCAGACGTCCCTCCCCCATTTTCGGACCTCAAAAAGGGTGGGGATGTTGAAATTTGGCCGAAATCTGTTTCGAAAAATGCATCCGACCTTTTTCTCTCGACCTTTTAGAGGCCGCCCGAAGCCGCCGAAGCCTTCGGCCCCCCGAAGACCCCCGTTTGGCCAACGCGGCGGAGGGTTGGCGCCCCATCTCCGCGAAGAGCAGGTCCAGCTCCCCGGTCAGGGCGCCCACCTCCTCCAGGTGCCTGGCGAGACAGGACCGGCGCTACTGGAGAAAAACTGCGGGGGATGGGGAGGGGGGGAGGGATGGGGAGTCACTTCCAAGAAAACCCAAGACGAAAACACAAAGAGTTTTCAACCAGAGGGGTTCATGTTTCTTGCTTTTTTCTTCAACAACAATGACACGCGCACACACACACACACACACACACACACATGAGAGGGGGCGGACCGAAAGCAGGTACCGATACAAAGTTGCCTTTCTCACCAGCCTTCCTTCGACAAGTTCTCTTCGTATATCGACCCTGAAGCTTGTGAACCATCCGAGCCATGTGCAACGGCATCAAGTGGGAAACCATCCAGCCAGACTGAAACAGGAACGACAAAATGGCAAGTGAAAACTGACAGCAAAGCATGCAAGGGCAGATGATGGAAGCAGGTGGGAAGCCCCTCTACGCCCCAACCAGATTCCCAGATAGTAGGGCGGAAAGATGGCAGTCTCACCCACTTTTGTGCCCGCCACCTTACCAGGCTTCAAACCCCCCCCTGAGAGGAAACCAATTGGCGCCTCTTGAGCTCCGCATCGAGTGTCTCCGCCTACCGAGTTTTTCAGACGGAAAAGGGCCAGCCCGAGAACATAGGGATTTCCAGGGGCCAGTTTTCTGCTTGCAAGGCGTGGATAAGATAGGGACAACACCAAGGATGATACTAAAAGAAATGGAGTCTTGCTGACGCAGGCGGGTCTTAGAGCGCGAAAGAGGCCAAGTCGACACAGCAACATGGGCAATGTTCCAGATCGTTTATGTCAAGGGCTCCCCGACTCACCGGTCCTAGGGATATTGTAAGGAGTGACTCAGGGCGAACAAGGGTCAGGAAACGATTGCCAGGTTGACAGAGGCGTCATTGTTATACTGGGCGCCTCATTGACGCATCAACACGCAACCCAGGGCGCCAACACGTCAACGGGAATGGATGGCCAAAGCACTGATAAACAAACAAACAAAATGCAGGGCCTCCCCCCAAACTCAAACATGTTTGGCAAAAGCCGGGGTCGTCTTGTGGGATCTCTGTACACCCCGCCCTTCTTGTTGCTTGGGGATGGGCACATGCGGGCGGCAAAGTTGGTACCCTTCTAATTCTTGAAGGCTTGCGCGAATTGTTTGGACGTCTGGACAGGGGACAAGCTGCGAGAACGCTATTTGTCTCGATGTGTATAGGTCCCGGAGCAGGCCTGGTCAGCATTGTCTGCACAAAATGATGTCTTGCATTTGATCTTGTGTCAAAGGTCTGAAATCGGGGCTTGAAGCGCGGCCTTCTGCGCTGTCTGTCTGCAAGGCCGTGTGCTTTCCAGCAGTCGTTGAGGCGCCACGAGCCCGAAACCCATCAGACCGCTTGCGGCGAAAACCAGCTTCTTGCAAAACGAAAAGCCATTTGTGACAAGCACTCGGTTTTCCCACCGTCCCGGGCACCTTGGCCGCCTTAGGCGACGCCTTGCGAGGCATGAGGCCGGTCAGGGCACTTAGCACGGGCGCCCGCAAAGGCGCCCTCGCCTCGCGGCTGGGCCGAGGTTTGGGGGCCAGGCTATAGAGAGGTTAGAACAAGAATACCAACTCTGTCTTCTTTTTTTTTTCTTCTCTGTAGTCTATTTCAGTACGGGAACTCCCCTAAGGGGTAGTGGGAGACCTAGTGGGCCAGGCGGGTTTTCTGTCAGAGCAAGTGGTTCCGGCAAAAAGCGGTTGACCGCCCACAAAATCAATGCCAACCAAGCAACGGCAACCTCAAAGGCGCCAATGCGGAGCAAAGAGTGGGACATCACAGCCAATCTCTTGAATCCCCTCGTCACTTTGCCCGTCTTGTTCTTCACGATTAGGGAGGGGGGGAGGAGCGAGGCAGGTAAGCCACATGAGGACCCAACAGCATCCCTAGTTCGTTCTTGCTTCATAACTTGTGAGAGCAATAAGTCAAATATGATAGGACCGACAACGCAAACAAATACTGAATTCGGCAAAGCTCGGACTGCGCCCAAGACCCCGGAAAAGGCTTCGACTCTGCGAACGCAGGTTTGAAGCTTGCGGGCATGAGCATTTCAAGACCCTTCCTCCAATGTCAGCCTCAAGTGCCTCACATCCCCCCGCCTTTAGGGCGGACTTCATGACATAGCCACACCTTCCATCGACATGGGTCCCAGGCCCAGGGGCGGCTTGGCGGGCACCATAGTCGACCGCCCATACACCAGCAAACCACCCACCCACCAAATTCACAAAAACCGTGATATCCCCACCAGCGGAACCCGCTGGAAGAAAGCTGCCCCGAACCTCCGAAGAGCTACGGTTACCTGGGCAGAGCCCCAAGGCTGCCAGCCCTTGGGGCAAAAACCTAACCGGAAGCCAGCCCCAAGCCGAGCTGATTCCCCTGCTAAATCGAGGACCGAGCACCGATACCACACGTTGGAATGCACATTAGCCGGAGACACCGGGGGCGTGTTCTCAAGCTCTCGGGGATGGTCCGCTCCTTTTGGCCCCTTTTAACTTACCCGAAAAGGGGTGGACCTATTTTGCGGAATTCCCAGAGGGAAGGTTTCGCTGGGCTCCCCGTCGATGAAACGAAGCGAACCCACCCACGTGGCATGAGCGCCCGCCTCGAGGTAGGTCCGCCATGCAATACGCCCAGGCTTCAAGATTTGAAGCGTGTCCCTTTCGCTCCTTCAGCCTCTTTTGTGTTCTTTCATTTCGTTTGGGTGGGGGTGACCACTTTTGGAAAGCAACGTAAAACATCAATGCGGCCGAGAGGTGTCAAGAAAAACAAGGCACTGCATAGACCTGGTGTTTCCATGTCGTTGCACATCTCGGCTTGAGCCATTGCCTGCATGATTGCCACTCACATGCCCGTTGGGAAAAGGGACAACATTCAACGTAAGGACACTCAGCAGATCCCCGCAAATGGTTGGGTTTCCTGGGCTTGAACAGCCCCTCTCAAAAAGAGCGCCCGGGCCTCAATTTGAGGCTGCAGCATCAAACGCTCGGCTCCCCTGAAAAAAGGAAGCCTGGCGAAAAGAAACTGTAGGATGCCTAGCTCTCTATTTCCCCGCAGGTTGTGCAACTCCATTCAGCCTGGTCGAGGCTACTTGCCTCATTTGGGCGTTACCTGGAACAGGCTGGAATAGGGAACCTGTGAAATGTAAAGCGTAATATGGCAACCGCCTATGGCAGCCTAATTGTGTAAACATAGGTGCTCGCAGGAGGGGTCATGGGACCATTTCTTGCATACTCTTGCAAAGCACCATTGTCAGGAGGCATCATAGCTTGTAGCCGCCAAAAAGCGCCGCTCCTGTTGGCTACGTCCCCACCTGGGACCCAGCCAAAATCGCCTCACTTAAGGGGGCTGGACGGGAAGTTTAGATGTGGGACATGCCAATGGTTTGCTTGCACATTGTGCAAAACGGCGTTCCGTGGCTCCAAGCTTGATGGCTCGCCCGCTTTCGGTGAAGGGTTTTGTGCTTGGTAGGGGTGGGAAGGCTTCTGAGCATGTATTCACCCCCTTCCACTTGGCCAAGCTAATAGGCAGTTACGGGCTGCAAAAGGCAGTTAAGTAAGATTCATGTGTTTTCCCACCTTGTCTTCCCTCCAGGGAAGATGTACCAGTGTGGGAAACGGCAGTAAGCTACTGGGCGACCATGTCCTAGGAAGCTGTACCCTCTTCGTCCCTTGCATGTGTCCTTTCAATCAAAGTTGGCGTTTGCTTCAGTAAAGTTCATGCGAGGGTAGATTATAATTCACCAACTGAAAAAAGGGACAACACGAAAGCCGGAACCTTCACATGTGACGTTGCAAGGCCCAGGTGACGTTGCTATGACTTGCCCAGAAATTCGGGCCCTCACCCCGCACCTCGCCGACCCGCGCCAGCAAGACCTGCGTGGAGCAAAAAAGGCCCACCCCCTTGGAATGTAGCCTGTAGCTACGTCAACGGGTTGTCGAGTTGTAAAGCAGCTTTAATTGATTGATGGATAGATTGTTTGATTGGTTGGTTGATGACTGATAGACTGATTGGTTTGGTTTGGCTGGTTGGTTGGTTGGCTGGCTGGCTGGCTGGTTGGTTGTTTGGTTGTTTGATTGTTGGGTTGCTTGGCGCGGTTGCTTGCTTGCTTGCTTGCTTGCTTGCTTCCTTGGTGGGTTGGTAGGTAGGGAGGTAGGCAGGTAGGTAGGTAAGTAGGTATGCAGGCAGGCAGGCACACAGGCAGGCGGGCAGGCAGGTTGGTTGCTTGCTTGGGCGCTTGGTTGCTTGATTGCTTGATTGATTGCGTGACTGCCTGATTGGTCGATTGTTTTGTCATGGTTTGGCTTGACGGGGTTGGTTGGTACGTTGATTGATTGGTTGATTGGATTGTTTGTTTTGTTGCTTTGGTTGGTTGGTTGGTTTGCTTGCTTGCTGGCTCGCTCGCTCGCTTGCTTGCTTGCTTGTGAGTGTTGGTTGATGGTTTTGTCTTGGCTTGGTTTCATGGGATTGGTTGGTGGTTGCTTTGTGGGTGGGTCGGCCGGTCGGTCCGCCTACACTCTGGCTCCCGCAGTTGCGGACTGGTTGGCTCACTGAACCCTAGGGCTTCGCCATCACCAGCTGAGCTGGTTGGTTGCCACTCACCCACCCACCCACCCACCCACCCACCCTAGCGTGCGTGGGCCTGTGCGCGCGTGCGCGTGCATGCATACTTGATGGTGCGCGCGCGTGCGTGTTTGCGCGCGACCGTGTGTGCGTGGCCGCGTACACGCGTGCGTGCTCGTGTGCCGTGCGCGCGAGCGCACACCCAATGCTAATGAAACTAAGACTGCATCCCCCGCATCCACTCTCAGCCCCGCCACAACCCAGGGAAATCAAAAACACGGTACTTGGCATGTTTTCTGCATAGTGGCGGCGGCCCTGCTATTGCAAAAACCCTGCTCACTTGATCGCAAACATGCCCTCCATGTCTCTCAGGGGCCTTCGGCGCGATGCAGGGGATGCAAGGGATGCAAGGGATGCAAGAGAAAGCCTGGATGCTGGTATGCAGGAAGCTGGGTGTCGCAAGGCCTGTTTTGGGGTCCAAATGTCCAGGCTGGGATGGGGATGCTTAGGAGGATCTTGGGGAACACGTCAGCGGTGACACTGTGCAGCTCGATTACCCTTCCACCAACACCTCGGTGTCAGTTGCCTCTCGCAAGGACCCCTGTCAGGTGCCATGTCAGTGGGGGTGAGGGTAGCTGTCTCGCTAGTTCCTACCGTACAGATCGGCGGCCCCCAACAATCTCGTAGCTAGTTCTCCCCTGATGGTCTGCTGACTTAGTTCATTCATTGGCCCAACAGTCTGGTTGGTTTGGCTTTTTTGGTTAGATAGGTCCAGCGTTGTAGCCCCGGTGTGTTGCAGCTTGGTGCATACCTGATCTTACCTTTTTCCTTGGTGCCTCGCACTCATGCAAGCGCAAATCCAAAAGCGCTCGCTTCTATTCCTCTTGGCAAACACTGGTCAGGATGGAACCTGATAGGTTTTGGTGGCTGCCGTTTTCCGTCTGGTCGCTCGCTTCCTGGCAGTTGCTTCTGGTCTAGTAACGGCTCAACCATGCCGGGAATCCCAAGCAACTCTCAAAGGCACAGCGTGTTCTGCGAAATCCGTGGCAACGATAACTCAAGCATTGCATCAAACGAGAAAGAGAGAGCGAGGAGAGAGAGAACAAAAGAAAAAAAACTGCTTTTGGTGCAAGCGGAGCCTGTAGGGAGGAGTTACGAACCAACCCCTGGATTCAGGCGCTACCTGAGGTGGCGAAACAGGAGCTGCGCCGCTGGGCCGGCGCCAGGAAACCAGTGAAGCCTTGAGCAGAAAAAGACTTGCTGGTGCTCAGTATGTGGGAATGAACCCAGGGATTCCCTTGAAGGAAGCCACAAGTTAGATGGTTGGGGTGGAGCCCTTGTGCCCTACCGAGCACCAGCAAGAGATCCTGAGCTTGGGGGTAGTTGAGCTTCCTCGCGGCATGGATGATCCATTCCATCATCAGCAGCCGGAACACGCCAGCCAAGACCATACACGCACACCAAGGCAGCGAGAACGGCACGTGGACCAAGACGTGGGTCATCTGGGCAGCTTGTTTTGAGCGCACGACAAACAGGCACCTGAGGCACAGCGGCGATGAGCAAACTAGCGGTAGCGCCCCCGGCTACCTGAGGACCTTACCTGCCACGTCCAATACGCTTGTTAAAAACGCACTTCTTGTCAGAAAAGCCATGACCAAGCTTGGAACAACTGGCAAAAGGTCGCATTCTCTGCACTTTGCCAGCTGCGTGGAATCCAATTCCGATCCAGTCCCAGCTCAGTCCAGCTATCCAATGCCAATCCAGAGCTTCCCGTCTCCCACTCCACCACTCCAAGTTGTCCAGTCAATTTCCACACCAGCTCAGTCCAGCTCCAGTTTCCCGGTCCATTCCACCAGTCAGTCTCCAGCTGCCAGGCTCACTCAAAGCCAGCTTCCCTCCCCAACACGATCTAACCCCAAGTCACGCCACAGTCCACCAACCCCAGTCTCAAACCCCAGTCCAGTGAAGTGCGAGCTGCGGAAAATACTTACGATCTTTCACTTATTGCTTGCTGCTTAGCACAAGAAAAAGGAACATGTGCCCCTCAACGCACTGGGAGGCCTTTCCGGCCCGCCTCGCCAAAGGAACCGCGCCCCAGCAGGCGGCAAACCTGACAGAGGCTCAGAGTTGCTTGGGGGAAAAACGAGGCACGCTACGGGGTTGACCCCGCAGGGATTTGAAAGCATCAGCTTCCCTCCAATTGGCGATTTGGCTTGGTGGTTTGGAGGTTGGGGGGATGGTTTCCAAAAGCGCAAGCTGCATACCAGTCAACAGGACGGTTCTTGCCGCCGCAAAACAAGCGCCGACAAGTAATCATAAGTTCATGACCTGCAGGCCTCTTCCAACGCCAACCTCTTGATTCTAAGTTGCTGTTGACGCCTACGGCGCAGCGGGAAAGACAGGGCGGTCGACGTGCATCGCTAACCAACTAGATCTTCAGCAGCGTCACCGACATTGGCAGCAACATCTTTAGCATCAGAAGCACGCAGACGTGCCAACCACCATGAGCGCCCGCTGTCTAAACAAGGCCGCAACCCGAACCACCCTTATGTAGGGC